TGGGTTAGTTCGTGCTGTGGGTAGGGGGAATTTGCAATCCCATTAATGGCTAATTCGGGTGCAAGCTCCACTGCAAGGGAGTCCCAGGTCCAAAACATGGCCTGAAGCACATGGAGACACCGCTGACACAGCCTGGGTGATGAGGAGCCTTTCCATGCTTTTACACAGGATGAACCCCACATCAACACCTTGGAGAGGAATTATTCTCTGCCATCAGCTTCCTATTTGTGAGCTTCAGTGCATGGCAGGGGAGTCTCTTCTGGTGGCTCATCCCTTTGCATGCCACAAAGGGATGCTGTCCTGCCAGGTAGCAGCGGGCAACAGCTATACGAGCCCTTGACCCCCTGGGCTGGCTCCCCATGTCACACTTGCCATGGTCCTCAAGCCAGAGGCAAAGTTTTCTGAACAGCGGCCATATTCTGCAGGGCTCAGGCTGTCTCCAAGAATAAGAGCCCTACCCAGGGAACCGATAAACACAACAGTGTTTGAGCCTCTGGTACTCTTTAATGTCATCTTCACGGAAATATATGTGTCATAACAACATAAAGCAGGCGTAGTTCCCTTGCTTTCGATCTGCTTGGTGCCAGGGTCCACGTCATTTCAGCATCAAAACAGATCCAGCAAGTTCATGGTCACTTTGTTCTCCCAAGAACTGCCTTTTTTTGCCCCCTTGGTTTGTACTTGTCTCTAGTCTTCTTCACTCCTGTCAGGGGATGTCACGTACTGTTGTGGTTAACATCTAATTTTCACTGGAAGCCCTTGGGAATTGGGCCCTTATCTCCACATACCATGCACATCAAAACGGTTTAATCAACCCTATTAATTCCAGGGCTTGCTGCTGCTCTGGATAAAACACTGCACTTTCCCAGCACTGAAGCTTTGTAGCCAAGTTTCACATTGCAGCACTCTCCATGCAGTTTGTTCTCTGCTCCTCTGGACTGGCCCTGTTCCCCTGCAGTGACCTGGCTCTCGTGGAGAGGTGTCAGGGCTCTGCTCTAAGGCTCAGCCTGGTTTTGACTGGTTTACCACAGCAGGAGTATCCCATCAGCTTGAAAATTTGAACTTGAGAGCCCTTGGTGTTATTTCCTGGCCACCTCCTAACATGGGTGCAGGGCACCTGCAGAGCACATCTGCCCAGTTGTGTGGCCGGAGAAGGTGTCCAAGAGCAGGGAGAAACCTTGGAAGATCAGGGCAAAACTCATGGGGTGCCATTACAGCTGTGGCACTGGAGGACCTGAGGAAGGGGCCAGGCCTTTGTCCTTGTCCCAGCATGCCTGCTTTAGGGAGGGGTGGTGGGACATGGCTTATTCATCAGAAGACACAGCCTGATCAAGAAACAACCTTCAGAGGACTAGAAATGGGAGGATTAGATATAGGAGGGTGGTCTATAGACATCTTCCTGGCCATATGAAGAAGTGGACCAGATTCTGCCAGCTTTTTCCACCTGCACCAGTGTTTTACCCCCTGATTCACCCGCAGTCTGAAGCCACACATCTCCAACAGCTGTGGGATGCCTGGTGTTTAAAGCATCCACCAAACAGCCCAGGGCTGCAGGAAACACGCTGCTCCTTGCTCTTCTCAGAATGGGGTTCTTGCAACACGAAAGAAGCGCAGGCAAAGCAAGAGCCCCAGGGAGAGAAGTGACAAGTGGCAGCTGACACTGCTGTGTGACTGCCGAGTGACAGAGCAGTTGGGCTCCTCACTATGCTGCTATTTTGGAAACTTCAATAAACACAAGAGGCCAGATCAATGTCTCAGTGCTCTAGCACAAGCCTTGAGGAGCCCTTTTCACTCCATTGCAGCCTGAGACACCCATTTGCTCTGTGCTCTGCTTGGACCCTGGGCAAGCTCATCAAAATAGCCACTGAAATCACTGTTAGCACTTCACTAATGAGCAGGTTTTAGCTCCTTTAGATTGCACCAAGGAATTCATGCTCATTTGTGCCATGGAGAATATGACTGTTTGCGTCCTGTGTGGGAGCTTTCAAGCAGCTGGAAAAAGAGTATAGATGTTTATATTTGTAAAAAGGGATTGTTTTTGCTGCTGTCAATTATTAACGGCTCTCAGGTCAGGCTAAGGAACAATGCCAGGGATAAATTACCCTGTATGCTATTCATATATGCTCTCCCCATTGTTTCCTTCTCAAGTAGAGGATTCACCCCGCAGTGAACTCCTCGGCGTTAGGAAAAAAAAGGGACTGACAAAGCGATGAACTCCGAGTGCCCGTTTATTTATGCATCGACATCGTCCCTGCTCTGTCAGGTGTGTTTAATCAAGAGGAACCAGGAAATGCGTTGTAATTATAAACACGTTACTGCGCAAGGAGGAGGCTGCCCTCGGAGAGGATTGGATTGTTTGATAAATGGTTACAGTGAGAAAACACAGGCTTAACCTACCAAGCTCTTTGCTAAGATCAAAGCAAGGCTGCCTGCCACCACAGCCCGCCCGTGCAGCAGGATTCAGCTCTGAGTTTGAACTGGGGGAAGTGGAAGAAAGTTAAAAAGAAAAAGCAATTTTTCCCTTTTTTTTCCCTTTTTTTTCCTGAAACTTTGTCCCCATTATAAAAAAATGACTCAAACATTAAATATTTGCTGTTAAAAATTAATAGAATTAGTGAAGAACCCAGCTGAGAACACAATAATTAGGACCCGCTCCAAAGCCCCTTGCTGAAGCCCGTGGAGAGACTTATTGTTTTCAGCAGGATTTGGTTCAGGATCCTGGTGAGCTGAAGCAAAGATGGAGTTATGGAATAACCCTGGGAGATCCTGGATCTTCTGCAGCCTTTCCATGTGACCTTGCCCAAACTTGCAAGCATTTATTAGTCGCGAGCACAATGGAACCTAAGGCAGTAATCTGCTGCTGCTGTGGAAAGCAGAAGACCAGGAGTGCTGTAGGTAAGATGCAGAAGGGGTTTATTGCCCTTCTCAGCACTGTGAGGCTGAGTCACGGCCCTGCACTTAAATAAACTAAAACCAAAACAGACAAACTGGAAATTGTCCAGAGGAAAGCAACAGAAATGATCAGAGGTCTAGAGAACATGACTTATGAGGAAATACTGAAAGGGCTGGGTTTGTTTAGTCTACCGAATTTGAAACATCCTAATAAACGTTAAAGATGTAAAAAAATATATGGTATCAAAAAGTGTAACTGATTGCCCTTTATCTGTGTGGGCATGGCGGAAGGTACAGCAAAGATATAGGACAGACAGTATTGTGTGCTGTTAATAAGGCACTCATGTGAGTTACTGAGGGAGGGAGCAATGTGAAAATCTCATGGGAGATTTTCAGTGTGTCAGACAAGTACCTGCTGTGAGGGACTGGGTAACATGCTGTCCCACGGGGCAGGCTGCTTGCAGCCATGTGGTCCTGTGGTTTCCATGATGCAGTGGCTGTCTCAGGACACTCAAGAATGAGACCTTAGAGGTGATGATCCTTCACAGCACTCCCTGATATGAAAAAAAACAGCAGGTGCTCAGCCCTTCTAAAAGGTGACCCCCAGAATCCTTTCTTAAACCTCTCTTTTCCCTGGTGTCCAGGGTTATTAAAGTGCAGCAAATTCCCACTCCTTCATGGGGCTGTCACTGTATTCAATAAATACCTTTGCTGCTCTCCCTTCTAAGTGAGTGCTCAGATGCTTGAATATTAGGATGATGAGGCATCTGGAAAAGCATGTGGTGACTCAGAAAGTGCTCCAGGTAGTGGTGGCCTTGTGGATCCTGGTCAGGAAAGTCCCCGCCTGACAGTGGAGAAAGGGGTACCTTGGTCATCCTTTCATAGAAGTGCTTTCACCCGTAACACCAATGGATATGACAACTGCAAAACACTTGGGATGGCAATAGGTATTGCTTTAGGTGGGTTGGGTGGTGGCCAGCACCTGATTTGAAATGCAGCATCCCTTCTCCCCATAGCATCTGCCCCAGGCCTGTGTATCTCCTGCCCTGAAGCTGCATCTGCATCTTCATCCTTGTGACCAACTGACTCTGCCAGCCCTCATCTGCCTCGGTAAGGCTCAACACTGTTCTCTGATTTCAACCCATTTTGCAAAGGGGCCCAAAAGCATTGGTTATAGTTTGCATCAAATTGACCAAGAGACAGAAGTCTATCAGAAACCATGTTTTGTATTTACTGCTCAGTGAACTCGGATTCCTTGAATTACAGGCACGAGATGAGGAGTTTGTAAAGGGAAGGAGCAAAGGGTTTCAGCCAGAGCAGAGCTGGCCATAGCCCTTGGCATCTCCAATGACTTGGGGGTGATATTAGGGTTTCCCAAGGGCCAGGGGAAGAATGGTGTGCTCAATGCCATTGCAACTGTGCCTCTTCTTTCCACTCCTCATTTCCTGCCCAGTTACAGCTGTGCAAGGTACTATTTGGTTGCAGCATAAATGCTGGGAAAATCACTAGTTACATGATATGGGAATTAAGAAAATCTGTTTGCTTCCAAGTGTAAACCAATGACTATGGCAGTAGTTTGCAAACATGATGTTATGGACCCAAGTCAGCTCTTTTCCCTCAGTTCTGGGTACAGTCACGAGCCTGGCAGGAATCTGTGTCAGCTAAAATGTGTGGCAGCAACTGGCGTCTCCTGGAGTTTTGGAGCTGAGTGGGGTCACAACAGGAAGGAGTTTGGGAAGGCAGCACTGCAGGGTTAGGAATAAACATTTCCCCAGGGCAGACTTTCCATAATTGGCCATGGCAAGGCTTCTTTCCCCAGAGAGCTGGAGCTGGTCTGTGAGGAAGCAGAATGAATCACTGCTCCATCCAATTTGGCAAGTGCCATGATTTAGCCTTGCTTTGCACAGGGAGATGATGATAGAGACTGAAAGACAGAGGAGAAACGTAGCCAAAGGCTTCCGAGCTGGGAGATGAGTTTGGGTTTACACTCATTTTTTGCAGGTTTACTCAGATCCTTAGAAGGAAACCCTGGCAAAACCCACGGGTACAAAACCAATTCCCTTTATCAACGATGCAGAGGGAACAATGAAGACTCCTGAACGCAAACCTCATGTAAACAATAATAACCATTTTATTTTGCATTGTTAAACCAGCAGTTGATATGCAATACTGCCTTCCAGCCCCCCACTTCGTTAACTATTTCTGTCACCCTTCTGCTCCCAGATACCCATTTTGGGGGGGATCTTAGTGGTTGGAGTTGGTGTCCTGCAACATGGTGGTGACCACATGGCTGTGCAGCCTTCGGTGAAGAGGAAGGTTGAGCATGGTTTCCTCATGCCAACCGGTACCCTTTGAAAAGTCCCACTGTCATTCACATACGAGGTACAAAAGAGTGTTGTTTCTGCCATCTCTTCTCTGGATGGTGCTCATGAGTGCAATCTTTAGAGCTCCTTGCTATCTCAGCAATCTCACCAAGCCTGGTGACCAGGCAGCACTTCACAGCCTGCTCAGGATCTGATGATCAATCCCCTCCCTTGAAAAATATGCACTTAGTGGCAGAACCCCATGAAAATATTGGTGGAGCCAGAGCTGCTTTGCCAAGTGGCAGACTTAGACTTGCTCTTCTTGGAAAGCTGGTTTCCTGTCACTGGCTTTCTCTCATCGTTGTTTTCCAGTGGTTTGGAGAGAGGAGAAAGGGAAAATGTTCCTCTCCAATACCTCTTCTCTTTTACATCCCCTTTCCTCTGTATGTCCTCTCTGCTATTCCAGATTTCAGGAACTCCATCAGCCAAAGGGCTTCCTAGCTACCCCCCTTTTATCCTGGATGCAAAAAGAGAAGCAAGCTTCCTGCAAAACAAAATCCCTTGAAAAAGAAGATGCAGCACATCTTCCTTTCCATCCCACCTTCTCCCGCTCCTTCAGAGATGGAGCAAAAGTCTTCCTTGCCTGTTGAAAGAGCAGTAGCTCAGAAAAGTCAAACCTGCATCTTGTCACAACGCGAGAATTCACATCAAAGCATCAGCCTTTTGCTGATTTCTAATTTGATGTTAGGAACATATTTTATTTCTGATGAGATGACTGCCATAGCCAATGCAGGCAGCTGCTGCTGGGCTGGATACAAGACCAGAGCTTGGGGCTGCCTATTCTAAATGCCCCCACCACTGGAAACTGAAGGCTTGGTTAGCACCGAGCAGCAAAGGGTGGCAGCATGCAGCTGAGTTTGCATGCTAACAAATGCAGGTTACCCAGATCTTACTTTCCCTGGAGATACCAGCATTCCCATTCACCTTTCACTTTAAAGCCTGCGCGAGGCCAAACCCTGTGCCAGGTTGTTACCCAGTATCTTTTCCCTGTTTTCTGCTGAGATTCTAGGTGAGGTGGCGGGGCTGGATTTAGCAGCACCACATGCAACACCAGTCAGGTGAACACAGCATGAGCACAATTCTCATGACCTTTCTGGCAGAGCGTTTAGGGAATGACAAATGCCACCGGCGCCTTCAAGGTCAGGAGTTTGTGGGACCCCATGAGGATTCCCCATGTGCTCTCTGCAGAGCAAAGCGGGTCCTTTCTGTGCAGGAAAGCACAAAATGTCCTGGGAAGAGTCAAAGATCGCTTAGAGAAGGTTAGAACAGGGAACACACTGGAGCGTAAGGCACCCATGGTCAAAGAGTTTGTGTGGCAGTTTTCCCTTTGGTGTCCATGTGTCAGTCTCTGGATCATAGCAGTCCAAGGAATCCAAGTCCTCGATGACATTGTCTGCAGTGAGACATCGTCCTCCCGTGACATACAGCTTGTTCTTGATGACAGTGGCCCCATGATGCATTCGTCTGTCCTTCATGTCTGCACATTTAACAAACTTGTTGCCTTTTGTGTCATAAGCAATTATTCTCCGGGTGTACCCTAAATGCAAAGCCAGAGGTAGAAGAGACAGATGTGAATTAGAGCTTATAGCCAGAAGATATATATTTCCTGCTAGTCTTCAATAAAACCTTTTATACTAGTACATAATCTGGCAGAATTAAGATATCTAAGGTGGGAAGTGATGATGTGTCACAAGAATTCCTGTCTGTCTGGCTTCCCTTCCTGTTTGTCCTCATCCTGTCTTATAGCACCTTGGCAGCCAAGGGTCAAGGAGCACCATAAAACCCATCAGATCAAGCAATCAACCCATCAAACACAGTTGGAGCTTGCAGTTTTCTGCAGGTGAACATCCCAAAGTTTTTGTTTTCACTCAACAGACTCCTAAAGCATAGAGAAACCAATGGCATATGGGAAGGGAGCAATGATGCCATGTTGGGTTGCTAAACTTGCCATGTTGTCTACTGAATGGAGCTGCTACTCAACAGCGCAGCGCCACTCCCAAAGCCCTCAGTGCCACATCCATGCTAGTCACCATGGCAGTGACCCAACAGGCAGCTCTTCCACTGAGGGGTGATGTAACCTTGCATCTGGTGACAGGGAAGGGCTGGAATCATGGGTTTTGCCCTGGAGCAATGGGGGTGTGGAAGCTTGGTATCCACCAGCATCTTGCACATGTATTCCTGTGCCCATGGCAAAGAATCTGCTTTGATCCATGTTTTGTGGGACTTGTAGGCATGTCCCATAACAAAAATCAAGGCCTCTTTTGCTTAGTCCAACCCACTCCCTTTTGTTATGATGTGACCAGTTATGCAAAGAGAACATGAAACGTGATGAAAGCAGTTTTTAAGACAAAATGTTATTTCTATGGGATTTACTGTTGATAAACCAAGAGTGTTTGGCCAATGTTTTGGCATGGAGCTTGGTAAATAAAAATTGACCATAGTGAATCTCTCTACTTTCAAGCAAAATGAAAGATATTTAAAATTAACATGATTTTCTGTGGCTTTTATTAGATAAATACAAACTAAATCGAGATCTTAAGCTTAGCAGCAGCAGGCTTGTGTCAATACATACTCTTCATATTAACGCATTTGAAAATAAGAGAGTTGAAAATACTGTATTTTGGGCACTGTAGTCTGAGGTCAGGGTAATTTGCCACACAAGATCTTGCTAGTCTTGGACCTTTTGACCCAGCTCTCCCCTGTTCTGCAAAGGGTAGCAGTGACCTCCCACTGATTTATGACATCCCATTTGAGTCCTGTGTCATTTGGGTTCAGTCTGCTACTCTGCTAAAGCTTCTCTATGTTTAATTTTCCCTTGAATAATCTAACACATGGTTCCTCCTGCCAGCCTGTGGTCAGGGAGCTGCCTTTAGGACTACCAATGACATGCGATTCATCAAAGCGCTGTGGGTAGAAGCTGATGCTCAGATTGAAAAGGACACCGAGACCTTTCCCGTCTTTGAGTGTTTCATGCCCTTCTCAGGATATTTCACAGTTACCCCCAGGAGGCAGCTACAGGACCAACTGACCCCTCATAGCCCTGCATCACACTCATCCCAGCAAGCTGTCCCAGGCCTTGTGGTAACTGTGCTCTCCACCTTTCCAAGAAGAGCAGTAAGGCAGGGCCAGGCTGTGAGGCAGTAGGGAAGGAGCAGAACCCGCATGCCCTTGGCTTCCTCCATTCTTCTGCAGAGCAGTAACTTGCATTGGCTTTTCCTCAGTTTCTCCCCACCACTTGGAACAAGAATGTGCCTCATGGAGAACTTGTCCCCACTTCCATGGCCATGAGACTCCACGGGAGATGTATATGGAGGGTGGACACACTTCTCCTTTCCCTCCCAAGCTCCAAATGCTTTTTGAGGGAACACCCCAAGCAGGAAAGCTGCGAAATCCAGCAGGAGCTGGGCAGGGGGAGAGAGGAAGGAGGGTGAAACAGAGCCCTTACCACCTACGATGATAATCTGGTCTCCAATCACAACAGCTGGTGCACAGACGTTCTTCACCACTCTGGTCTCCATCCGAAACCACATGTTCCTGGAGACATGATAAACCTGACAAATAAATGAAGATACACACAGCTGTTTGTGTTGCATTTTATCTGGCAGTTGTAATTACAGAGGAACTTATGGGTTTTATTTTGTCCTAATTAACACAATCCTCTGGCTTAAGCTGAGAATTTATCCACTTTCTTTCCTAATATGTCCTCTTGGAAAGTGCTCTTGTTTTCCAGGCTTGTCTGCTCAGGAGATGCTAGCCCATGCCCTAAGGCAGAGTGTATCTGCAATATGCAAGCTTCTTGCCTGTAAATCTTTGCATGGCCATTAAATCACTTGATATCGCTTTTCCAGTGTGCAAGCTACCTAATTTAACTTCCCAGTTATTCTGTGTATTGCTGCTTTAGCCTTAGCAATCTACTGGGCAAGCAAACTTCAACTTCATCTAGCTCAGCTGGCAGCCACAGTGTTTGCCCAGTTGCTATATTTGTGCTGGTGGCTGGTATGCACTGAGATTGGCAAAGGGACTTGTTAATGAGACTTAGAGTGGTATCTAAGTCATCAATTTATGTGAGAAAAAGAGCTGCTGCCAGATGATGATCATTCAGTCATCCATATCTGGGAGACACAAACTTTTATGTCACGTCGACCTCTTCTTAATATAGCAAATACCTCCAGGACATCTCCCCACTAACTGATACATATTTCCTTCCCCCTGATAATCAAGAAGCACTATCACCATCAAAAAGTGATGCTCATGTGCTGTCTGCCATTTTAGCCTTTAATGATCTTCCTAGTTAAAACACCTAAGCCAGCGAAAAACACACATGGGGAAAGTAACTCTGCAATGTCGCTAAAGCATCAGATCAGATAAGAAAGGATTTCATGTATTTTTTCCTTCTAATAGAGTGTAACCACCGAAAGCAGGCAGCGAGCCAGCGACATGTGGCAGGAGCCACATTTTTAACACAACTGTTTATATGAAATAACTGTCAGTTTAAGTTCTGGCCTTTTGATAAGTGAGAATCTAATCGCTGTAATGATCATGGATCTTTGTTTTGCTGTGAGTGAGCAGATGTGTGGCTAAGACCCCATCTCGGCTGCCAAGTGGAAAGCGCTGATTTAGGTGAGATTGGCTGCAGGCATGAAGCCAGGCAGTGGGACTGGCTGCTGCCTGTCATAGCATCACCTGCAGCAGCCCTGGCCCCAGTGCCTACCAGCATCAGAGATGACACCCAAAGAAGTACCCTGAGGCTTGTGCCTGGAAAACACTCACAGGGTTGCAATGCTCCTTGCAGACAAGACTTCCCTGACGCCATATTTCAACTCATCCTGCCTCTGGCTGCAACTCACAATAAAGTGGTTTTGGGGGGTTGATTTACTCAGGAGGATAATGAGCTGCTGCATACCTTGGCTGACACTGCTTATGACAAGCAGGACTGGCCATTACCTGGATCAGCCGGACAGGGTTTTGCATAATGTCTTCTCCCCCAAAGAGGTAGACCCTCTGATCTTTGGCAGCAACAGCAGGGTGAAGGACGGCAACAGGCATGTTTGCCATGCTCTCACTGGCATTGTAGACACTGTCGTATCTTTCCACAGAATTCAGGATTTCCTGATTTTCACCAATTCCACCGAATGATAAAATGTAATTTTTATAAGCCAAGCTTCTGTGGGAGTAACGTGGGACTAACATGTGCTCAATCAACCTCCACTGATTGAGTTTGAGGGAGTAAATGTAAATATTACCACTGACCGGGCTTTTCTTATTGTTAACAGGCATCCCTCCAAGCACATAAATATTGCTGTGCAAGCTCACTGCAGAGGCTTTGTAGAGGCGCATGGGAAGTTTGGCCAAGCTTAGCCATTGGTTTGTCTTGTCATCATAGAGCAGGACTTCCCTTGTTGTCTGCTGGCTGTCCTTTCTACCACCAATGATGATGAGGAACTCCTGGTTGGAGTACCTGCGAGGAACATGCAGCATGGGCTTGATGTCCGGTGCATTGGTGCTGTACAAGGAAAACATATGTCTCCAAGCTGACTCAAGGATGCTCCTGCAAGTGGGTGAGGACTGAACAAGGGAGTCATTGGCAATGAAGTGAAAGAAAAAGGTTGGATGGACATACTGAAGCCGGACCTTCTTGAACAACTCTTGGATGTAGCCTTGTCTTGCCTGGAGGTCATGCCGGATCCAGACCATCAGGGTCTCAAAGACTTGTTCCTCCTCCCCACAGAGCTCATCGTCCCCAAGGTAATCAATGAGCTCCAAGGGACAAAGGTCCTTCAGGTCCTCGGAAGAGGCCACCTCAGGAAAGCATTTCAAGGCCATAGCCTTGGCTTTCTTAGTCAGGCTTTGGCAGTTCAAGACTTTTGCTAGTCTGAACATGCTCAGACAGTTGTCAGGAGTCAGCTTGTCCTGGAGGTAGGCAGAGCAGGCCTCAAACAGCTTCGCATACTGCAGCATGGAGGCTGTCTCCAACAGGCACAGGACATTCTCAGCGGATATAAGAATCTCCCCTGTGTAAACATAAAGGATGAGCTGGTCCAAAGTCTCGGCATTGATGCCCTTCAGGATGACTTTAGCCTGGCGACTCTCCCTGAAGTTGTTACAGAACATCGCCTTGAAGTATGGACTGCTGGAAGCCAGCACGTTTCGGTGGCAAGGGATTTCAAAGCCCCCGGAGCAGAGGGTAACATCAGTCAGCATCCTGCTCTGCCGCAGAGCATTCAGCTGCCTCAACAGTTCGGAGGAGAAGTCCTGGTCTTTGAAGAGAAACTCCTCAGTGGATCCTTCCTCCATAGCAAAATAGGAGAGAGATGAATTCTGGACTTGGCAGAAAAAAACCTCAAAATTTTTAGCAACTTTTATTGAAATATCCAGCTTCAAGGGAACAAATTGGGACTTTGATGTTGCTCTAAATATCCATTCGCTGTTATGCATAAAAATGGAACATGGGTTAAGCACAGTGGGAAAATCATAAAGAAGCTAAAAGGTCACTAAGACCCTTTAAAATTCACATAAAGTTATCAGCTAGGTTGCAGCTCTGAGGTCAGCACTGCCTATGTCCCTGGCAAGAAGCAAAAGCACTGAAGTTATCTCACTGATTTGGGATTAAAGCTGGATGCCTGAAGCAATTGTTGTGTTCGTTGAATAAATGTGCTTAGACATTTATTCACTGTTTTTAAGTATTAGCAGTTTAGTAGCTTGCGCCTCTTTCCCCTAGAGTTAGTCACTCCCAAAGAATGTAAATCTGGCAGAGCTGAACTCTGCAGCAGGGAAAACGAAACCCTGGAGACGGGAATCTTCATTAAAACAGTTATTTATTAACCCTGCTTAGCTGTGGGTTTTTTATGTTAATCAAGACACGCAATGACTAAATTAAGTGCCAGGCAGAACAATAGGATGAGTATTGTCATGGCTAACTGCTCAACCTGCAGTGCAACGGTAAGGTAGAAACGTTTACCTTCTGTTGTCCTTCCCTGCATGCACTTACTCTCTGCCGTTTATTCTCTGCTGAGATTTTCCATAGCTAGAGCCTGGATAAAAACCTATAAACCCCCAGGACGTTTCTTTCGGTAGGTAAGTGATTCATAGAGGGTGCTTTCTGCCCGTGTTTACTCTGCAGTCACTTTTGCCGCTCTCGGGGGCTGCGCGCAGGAGCGGCGCGGCGCTGGGGCATTGTATACATTCCAGCGCTAAGAATAGGGACACGGGCTTCTCGCTGTTATCACATGTGACGCCGCGTTCCCTTTTGCAATGACCTGGCCGGGACTGAGCATGCCCGAGTGGTGTTTTTCTGGCAAATGTTTACATCTAATAAATAGACACAGAGAGGAAAGTTCACTTATAAAAGTCCTGGCTGGCCGCTTGGAAACAGGACCCTGTCCTAAAGCGCCTGGGAACTCTAGAAGCCTGTAAACAGTCTGCAAAGCCTCGTGCTAGGTAATGCTCTGTCACCGTAGCTTCATGGAAAAAGAGGGAGAGAGGAGGGCTCCCAGGAATCCCGGCAGTATGGATCATGTCTCCACCTTATGGAGAGATCTGGGGAGCGTCACCCCCTTGCAGTCTGGTGGGAGATGCTGATGCACTGTGCCCATGGCTGACTCAAGGTGGGCAGCGAGAGCCCAGCTACCCCTGCCAAGCAGAGTGAAGTTCGCTTTTGGAGCAGTTTATCTTTATGGTGATGCTTAATATTTCATATAGAAAACACCAGGTTGTGGCCTTTTTTGTAAGGACCTCATCTCTCTGAAACCTTTAGTAAAGAACTTCTCAAGCAGTTGGCTCAAGGAAGCTTAGCATCACAGGCGGGAGGACAGCAGTGGGTTGCTGAAGTGAGTGCAGCAAGCAGGAAACCAGTCCCTGGGTGGCACTTAGCTCCCCAGGGCAGACACCTCAGCGGGGTCTCTGACTCTGTGTGCCTGCACGTGAGCAAGGTGTCCGAGCTCCTTTTGCAGCCAGTGAGGTCTAGTCAATAGAACCAAGTCTGCTGAGTTATTCAGGTCACCAGTAAGTACCACCTATATTTAGGCAGGTGAACAATCCTCCAGACGCTGCTGGGCCTCCTCAGGTACTCAGCTGCCTCAGTCACATGTAGGTGTCCATATTTAACACTCACATGTAGGTATCTGTGATGATGAGCCTGAATCCATCCCTAGGGTGGGATCAGTGGAGCACCTTGTGCCACTGGAAGATCCTCCACAAGCCCAGCTGGCTCCTGTCTGGGGTTTCCAGCAGGTCCAGGTCCAATGTGATGTGTCCCAGCTCTGTGCCAATATCCTGTGTGTTTCAAGAGAAATGCATTGGCTGCCTGTGTCCGGGTAACTGTTTTGGGCCACTCCTCTATGCTGAAATTCCTCTTTTTGGATTGAATCCAAAGTGCCATTTCTAAGCATTGCTGCCACAGGGAAACACAAGGTTAAAGCACAAGTCCTTCTCATATTTTCAAAGCCAAAGCTCACGGTGAGTCATGTCTGCCCCTCGTCACAGCAGGGCAGATGAGCAAAAATCCTTGGGAGCCACAGTGCCCTTATGTCAACTCCCGTGCTGCGCTGGTGTTTGCGGTCCTCCATATGTTCCTGCCCCCACATCCGCGGCCCAGCAGACTGCAGGGCTGGGGGCAATCTGCTCCTCTAAAAACAGCAGCTTTGCATCACAGGTCATGCCATAGGTGGCCTTTCCCAGAGACTTTTGTGCTGGACAAAACCCTGAAGGCCCTGTGTTAAGGGCAGGGTGGAATTGGGCTGGAGTAGCTTTTTGGAGCTTGTGGCATCTTCCTTTCCCGCACATGCATGCGATAATGGCCAAAGGAGGTGAGGGAGAGGAAGGGCAGAAGCCACTGGGCTTGACTCCTGCAGATGAGTTACTTAGAGGGTAAACCTGGCAGTGTGCAGCCTTTTCCCCCTCTTTGAGTAAAGAGACAACCTGGAGGGTGATGTTGGGGTGCTGGGGAAAATGTGCCCTCCCATCCCTGCTCCCCACTGCCACTGCCCCACCAGCTGGCTTTGATCTTGCTATAAATATTTAGAGTGGCATTAAAAACCCAAAGGAACAGTTCTCTCTCCTTGTCCAGAGAACATGAGCTACCCAAACAAAGCGCCTCTCGCTTTCTTTCTTGCTCTCTGTGTATATGCTCTCGCTGCGGTCCGTTTTGATGATTGATTTAGCTTTGTATCTCTGTCCTGGCTCTAACTCTTTGCTGCCTGTTTAGTCCTGCCTCTTCCTGGCAGCAGCTGTAGATTATTTTTTTAACCCTTAAAGAAACAAATGACGCTATGCCTTCATTAATGACAGTTTTATGGGGTCGGGGAAGGGTAGGTGGGATGTTCTCCCGCTTTAGATACTGATAAATGTGGCATTTATTTAGAAGATCCCAGGCTCGAGGGCTTTGCACGGTTATGCAAACCCTTGCTAACCCAGAGTACATCGTGTGCTGTTTAAATAGCTTATTGCTCTCGGGGGGGTTGCTGCTCCCTGCTGAGTCCCCATACAGGTCCCTGCCAATTTGGGGCCAAGGCTCCCAAGCAATGAAGCTCCTGCCGCCTGCTTCACAACTCTCTTCTTTCTTTCCCAGAGATTATGGTTTCAGATACATCTCCAACCAAGTGGGCACATCAGCAGTGCTCAGTTAGGATTTCCTCTATAAATAAACTAGAAATCATTTTTCATGGCATATCCTAGGACAGTATGTATTGTATGGCCCCTACTGCTGCAGCACGATCCTTGGTGAGAGGATAGAGCCGTTTCCTCTGTAGGACAGTGTACCCTGTGTGAGAAAGTCTCTTTCTGAATGAGTTCTGAATGTATGCTCCAGTCCCGAGCCACTGTCCTGGTGCAGATGTTTTTCTGTATGTCCGATAGGAAACAGTTTCTCTAGGTTGACATGCTATTGACCAAAACAGGACTGAGCATCCTTTTTGGGAGGACAGGATATGGCATTAACCATGGCAGTGGGATGTTACATGGATAAAGGGCTGGTCTGAACACCATGTAGAGTGGGAAAGTGGGCTCCTTCACAGGGTAGGTGACCCACCAGCACTGTGGGACGTGATGCTGCAAGTCCTACATAGCCCTTTGGGGAGGCTGGACCCACCGCGGGCTATTAAAAACAGTGACCCGCTGTAACTGCTGCTGTATGAACTCCATCAACAGCTGGTTCTATACAGCAGCAATGTCTACCAAAGGACAACATCTGCTGCAATGCTGTATACTCATCCTGCTCATTCTGCTCTCTGTCCTTAAGTGTTAGGATTGCTCAGTGTTGGAATTAGGATGGTTGAACCTTTTATCTGGCCCAGAGCAAGCTCTTCTTATGTTTCAATGAGACGGGATGATGAAATGTCTATTCTCATGCACTAAGCAACAGAGCGGAAAAAAGCTGTGGTCTTATTGTCCAGCAGACAGGTGCACAGGGGAGACTGGTGATGTCAGACAACTGCTAGAACTCACACACTGATCCTATAACAATTCAGGTGAAAATGAACAAATATGGATAAGGGAAAAGGACTGTTCAAGGCACAGACTTCACTGATCTCACTCAGTATTATGTGCTCTGCCCCAGTGACTACCAGCCCCCCCCAGCTGTTGAGAGAGATAGAATCATAGAATCATAGAATAGTTAGGGTTGGAAAGGACCTTAAGATCATCTAGTTCCAACCCCCTGCCATGGGCAGGGACATCTCACACTAAACCATGTCACCCAAGGCCTCGTCCAGCCTGGTCTTGAACACTGCCAGGGACAGAGCATTCACAACCTCCCTGGGCAGCCCATTCCAATGCCTCACCACCCTAACAGGAAAGAATTTCCTCCTTATAGCCAATCTAAACTTCCCCTGTTTAAGCTTGAACCTGTTACCCCTTGTCCTGTCACTACAGTTCCTGATGAAGAGTCCCTCCACAGCATCCTTACAGGCCCCCTTCAGATACTGGAAGGCTGCTATGAGGTCTCCACGCAGCCTTCTCTTCTCCAGGCTGAACAGCCCCAACTTTCTCAGCCTGTCTTCAAACGGGAGGTGCTCCAGTCCCCTGATCATCCTCGTGGCCCTTCTCTGGACTTGTTCCAACAGTTCCATGTCCTTTTTATGTTGAGGACACCAGAACTGCACATCCTTTTCCCCAGATTTGCAGTCTAAATAGATAGGAGGACAAGTAAAAATATTCCTTATTACGGTCTTTACAAAACCGGGAGAGGGAACAGAATCCGGGATTAACATTCCTCATTGTAAAAAGAGACAATTACAGGGATCATAATGAATCAGATGCCATAAGCTGGAAAGGATGGGTAGATGCCCCAAGCACCAGTGGTGGCTGCCTGGGTCACAGCCTTCAGCCCAGGTTGGGAAAGCAGCCAGCACTGCTTGGGATGCTGCATGCCCTGGCAATGGGGAGCTTGGTTGGTGGGCCTTGACCAGGGTCAGATGGGCACCTGACACCATTTTGCTTATTATAAGCTGAAGGCAAGGATACAGGAGCAGAAAGGAAGACTAATTTGTTGGGGAATTATTAGATTTATGTGTCACATATTTACACATACAGGTAAATGTATATCATAATTACGTGCATTGAAAGAGCAAGGGTATGTCTATATTAGCAAATTGCTGTCAAGAGATGGCACGCATAGGGACCTTTCTACTCAACATATGTGTGTCTCACCCAGCTGATGACACTGCCAGGAGACCTAACTCCACATGTAGTGTCTGGGCCAGATTCCCATGAAAGGAATGGTTTCCCACTCCCAGCACCTGGTTTTGGACTCATCCTGATACTCCTCACTGAAGCAGCCTCCCCAAGTCCTGTCTATGCTCAGTGTGGATTTACTATCGGCTTAATTGGACTGGGAGAAAAGCCCTTAGGCTCTGTCCTGCTCCCTGGTTGACATCTTAGGTTCACTGAAGCAGTGAAACTGTAACTATTGCATTACTCATTTTCTGTCTAGCTGCTCAGCAAACATGAGTTCCCTGAGTGCCCTGTCACCACAGCTGTTGGTCATACTGGTGTGAGACTTAATTCTGAACTAAGGCTTAGCTGAAGACTTGATTGAATCTGGGTTTGGTTCTGATTTTGCAGGTGAGGTAACAGATTACATCTATAGACACTGGTCATGAAACCTGAACTCGAATTTTGAACCCCTAACCTAAACTTCTGTAACACAAGGACAAGTTTTAACCTTACAGCACTGGAGACACGCAGCAACCCCACAAGTGTCACTGCCATCACTGTGTGTATTGTGCACAGATAGCGAGATACAGCATGTAATTCAATAATGACTTTGGCCCAGTATGTGTGGGTGTGAAGATGTGTGGGCTCCTGGCTTGGTTTCAGGCCAATCTCTAATTAAAGAGTGAAAGATTAAGATGAAAGCAGTTGTGCTCTTCCTTCTTCAGTCAGAATGACCTACTAGTGTTAATTAAAACAGTCTTCAGGCAAGAATAAATTTGGCTGCCAAAGTTACGTGCTTGGCATTAAATAAGGACATAGCTGGGTTTAAAGTGTGCTGAGCTTCTAGAGGTTTCACAGAACCCCCTCACGTACCTTTGGGCACTCTGGTTAGAATATCCTAAAACAAATCTTTTGCCTAAATCATCTCCTTCATGTGCATTCCAGACACCTGCTGGCTTTTACTCCAAACTGCATCAATTGAGAACAGGTACCTGACAGATTACCTTGCACTGAACACACGGTGTGACCTCTGGAGGATAAAATATCACCAGGAACACTGGACACCTAAGTAGATTATTCGTCTATCCTTTCTATAGTCTCTGGTTACATGAGCGCCACGGCAACAGCAACAGCAACAAGAAGATCCTGCACTGCTCTGCTCTTTCTGGGTCTGAACATTAAAGTGCCTTTGATAGAGGCAAATCCCAAATCAGGTGGCTCATTTCAGGTCCAGGATCTGCCCCTGGTATCTTTATTTCTTTATGTTTAGAAATAGTGCCAAAGGAGGGTCAGGCATCTAAAATGCCAGAACATCCTGTTATACCTGCGTGGCACACTTCATTATCCTTAAAAGCCGTCCATCTTTCACATCTCCCATTTGTTCTTCCCCATATCTATGGATTATACCTAAATGGCCGGGGACTGCTGCTGTGACATTGATACAAGCAGGGAGAAACAGGTCCAGTGCTTCAGAAATACTATTTTCAATGTGAATTAGATGTCATCAACCATCATATCTCTGGGGGTCTAAGCTTGAAAGACCCTTACCCGTGCAGAGTGGTACGTTCAAAAGGGGGAAGAGGCCAGACACACAGAAATCCTCACAAGCCCATCTCCTTGACGGACTCTTCTATTTCTTTTATTTGTCAGGCTGGGTCATATTATTTTTCACCTACATTATAGGATTTTAGGGTAACTCAGTGAGGAAAGGACCTCCGATTCAAAGCGAGGTGAGCCATGAGGTGTGACCAGGTTGCTCAGGCTTTTATCCAGCCAGATCCTGGAAACCATGAAGCGGTCCTGAGGCCCATGTCAGCCTCTCTGGGAACAGCATTTCCTTGCCTGACAGATCCACTTCATGAAGCCCCATCTCTTCCTCAGCTGTGCTCCTGCACCATATCCCAGGGGGTGGTGTCAAGGGGTACTGCAAGTCCTTATCTCCTTCATGGAATAATTTAGGAGGTGACATGCTGAGAGGGCAACTCACAGGGAAATCACTCTGACCTTCCCCACTGATAGCAGGACTTTAATCAGGGCCTGAATAAAATCATTAATTCACAGCCCTCAGGTTGTTTAAAGAACTGTGATAATGGGCTGAGAAGAAATTGCTATCCATTTTCCCTTGGCAGGATTGTAAGGGCATGACATGGCACCCATCAGATTGGAGACAGAACGGGGATAATCTCCAGAATGAGAGAAAGAAAGAAAAATCCACCCAGAAGGAACAATGACAGAGGATTCTTCCACATATGCAAACACAAAGAGGTCAATTTACATTGGGTTTTTTTAACAGGTCTTTATTGCTTAAGTACATTTGGCGAGATAGCCATAACATAAACCTCATTACTCCAGCATTACTTGGCAACACATTTCCCAGCTGGAAAGAAAATAAATTGGATTTTTTTCCTTTGTGCTAATGCCACATTTTTTGAATGCTATTTTGGAAGCTAATCAAGAGGTGGCTGCTCAGCATGCCTCTTCATTCCTGATGGCTTTTCAGTGCAAAATAGCCAGCAGCAGCTTCCTGAAGTCCCCAGAGGTATCAGATCGGACAGCTTCAGCTAAGGACTTCTTGTACATTTGCTGGAACTTCTCCTGTACTGCTGGCAGGTCGCTCTGAGAAGACATCAAGAGCCCCTTTAGAAGAGTGGGATGTGCTTTGAGCAATACGTGTTGCTCCTATCAGGACCCTTGGGGTCTGATCCCCAGACCTGGGGGTCTGGACCCTTGGGGTCCACCGCACCCAATGGAAGGAGGAGAGGACAAAGCAGGATGTCTAAATATCTCGAAGGTCTTTCAGCTTACCATTCATGTTTGAGGTAAGCCTGTGTGGTGAGGGGGCACTAGCACCTCACATGTGTGGTGAGGGGGCACTAGCTATGAGGAGGGGTACGGGTCCGTTTGGAGACCCATGGCCAGGAGCACCTCTGCCCTGTGCTCAGCAATGCCGTGCAGGCACAGCCTTAGTGCAATTCCATTGTGGCAAGCAGGGAAAGAGGCACTTCCAAGAGTGTGGCTAAAAGACAGTTTTGTTCCACCCACAGCAGTAATTTTCTGGTTACTATGGGGAGGGAATTAAATGCCTTGTCTTGAGCTTTGCTGTGAAAAGGCACCCACAGCACAGGCCTGATCTTTATCTCTGTGGGGTATTAAATGTTATCATGATTGGACCGTGCCTCAGCAGAAAGCCTACCCTGGAGCCTACTTTCTCACACTATCATCATTGAGAAATATGCTCTCCTCATCCGTGTGAACAACTCCTCCTCTATGTCAAGACTGACACAGCCCTGGGGTGACAACCTACACAAGTTATGAGGAAGGAAGACTTAAAGACTGTTTTTGAGCTCTCAAATGTCTTGTGCAGTTTTGTGCTTTTTCAAATGACAATTATCTCCTTTGGCTCTTTATTTTTCTTCCCTGCTCCCCATCTGTGTTTTACCAGCTGGAATCAGAGAAAATTGGCAACATATGTTCATAGGCAATTCTCAATTTGAGAACTGCTACTTTATCATTACTTAACTAGGAATTTGCTTTTTCACATCCTATTGGGGCCAGATCTCCCCATGGGTTAGTTTTAACCAGGTACAGTTGACTCCACTTGAAATTGCCTGCATGCTTTCTGCTTCAGTTCTTTTGAGAACAGAAATATATGTAACATCAAAATTAGAGTTGCCTGGGTACAAAAGCGTGAGCATTGATGTCACTGGGCTGAGATGGCTTGACTGAACACATGATCTACAGGACCCACTCCATACCCTCTACATTTGTATTTCTTCCAGAGCTGATGTGAGGTATGACAGGTCTCAGGGTACCCTACCTCAGCCCTGGTCACAAGGATGCGAATCAAGGTGTCTTCATCAGTCCCAACTCCTTTCATTGACTTGTGCAGAAGCGTAGCAAAGTAACCTGGGCAGTCTTTGGCACAGCTGACTATAGAAAACAGACAGAGGCTTCATTATACTTATGTATTTACACTTTGTAATCTATCTTCAACAAGAAGGAAATAAATAAGGAATAAATACAGGAAACTATCTAGAGTTTATGCTCAGACATATAAGCTGGTAGGGCTTTCATCCTGACTGGTCCCCTATCAGCATGCAAGGAGAAGTCTTGGAATCTGAACAGGACATATATTTCTCCATGGGGAAAGTTTGTTACACAGTGAAAATGAAATGAATGAGAATGAGCATCTTCCCTCCTGGAGTTTCTCTTGCCCATCTATTCTTGTGGTAGCTGCTCACTCCACAGCTCACAGGAGCAAGATTTGGGAGAGCCCAGATCCAGATGGATAACAGCAATACCAGTAAGATAACCAGAGCCAGGACACAAGCTTAAATGCCTGTCACAGTCATTCCCAGTGCTAAATTGCTGTTGAAGACCCTGTACATTTCTGTGGTGGCTGGCTAGCATTCTTCTGATGATGCCCAGGCATCTACTGGAAGTTATCAACAGCCATGGCCTCGGGCAGCTTGGAGATGGCCTCCATGTGTTAGAGTGCAAATAATTCAGCTGCATGGAGAGTTGTGCCTAGCAGTTTTATTTCTAAAACCAAGAGGTCCAAATCACTACTGGAAACTGGCTCTTCTTTTCCTGGCAGATATGACAGCTCAGTTTAGGTCTATCTCGATGGCTGTCACCAGGCTGCACACAGATCCCCCACAACCAATGTCAGATGATGGCAAGAACTAGAAAAGAAAGCTCTTGACACTTTTTTTCTTACCAAGAGTGAGATAAGCCTTCTCAAGATCTCCAGAAGTTTCACTTTTAATGGATTCTTCTATGTCCTTCCCACACACCTACAAGGACAACATAAAGGAGCCTTGAGAGCTGCTGTCTGTACACGCCATCCTATTGCCATAAAACCAGTATCCAACTTAGGATCCAATGGCAAAAAGCCAATTCAGATCCTTTAGAGGCTTTCCAAGGGAGTAATTCAAGGGCAAAGGAAGTTCTCCTCTGTTATAAGCACTCACAGATTCAGTGGCACCAAGGTCTATGCATCCAAGTAAAGCACAGCAGTTAAGAGATGGATAACCTACATCAATCAGTCACATTGTATCTGGGGGCTTCTAGGACAAAGAAGCTGCAGCTTCTTCCTGAGTGAACCCCCCCCCTCCCCCCAGTTATCAAGCTTCCTCTAAGTCCTCTATCAAAGGCTCTGGATGGCTCCCACACAAAGAAGATAATTTTTGGAGCTTTACCAGCTCTATGAAGTTTTGTTGCTTATTGTCTTTGGCTTCCCAGGGAAAGTTTGCAAACACTGCAGTTGTCCCCCAGCTTTTGTGTTATTCTGTAGGAAAGGGGAAAAACAGACTTCAAAACAGAGTTTATCCTGAAATTCATGAGCCTCAGAGGCTTTTACTTTGCTCTGGTTTGCCTACCAGGTTGGCCCTGCATGGTTTTAGGTCAAAGCTGGGAAGTACACATTCAAGGTACCTTCTGAGGATTAAGGCTTAAGTTCTGCGAGTCCCCAACCTGGTTTACATCTTCCCTATTTATCTTTCTGCTGCAGAGGAGGACTGATGTTTGCATGGCTCTAATCTTGGCCCACTTCAAGTACAGCCAGGCAGGATGTGGTGGATCAGTTTGGGCAACCTGATCTGCTTGGTTTTAGGAATCAAAAAGCCAAGGTAGTTTGGCTATCAGAGCATTTAGCTGAACCCCCATGGTTTGGGCCACTCCAAGGGAGTATCAGTTAGTGACTGGGTTTGTTCTCCTGCCAAAAACAAACCAAAACTTGGATTAAGCTACAAACATTTTTCCAGCTATGGGTTCCTTATTATGCTGACACTTAAATATGGCCTTGACTGGAGATTTTTCATGTTTGGTGCCAAGGGTTACAGTTTTCTGATGAATCTCCAAGTCATCATTGGGAAGTTCAGGACTATGAGCCAGAAGCTGGAGGGGTACACTCTCCTGGGAATAAATGTCACTGCTGAGCTTCCATCTCACTGCAGGAGAAGTCATTGGATCTCCCATTGCTTTGACTTTCTTGGGTCATTTCCATGCGAGAGGTCTCAGTGAAGGTCTCACTGGAGGCCCAGGCAAGAGTAAGATGCCCCTGGTGTGTAACACAGGGAAAAGAACCAAACAGGATCCTGCTGCCTGCTTTGCCTTTTGTTTGAAGACAGCAAAATACCTGCACAGGTTGTCTGTCCAGCATGGGCAGAGAGAAAGAGGCAGATGTGCCTCTGCCCAGCCAATACAAGCGTGTGAAGCAGGGGGATCAGGAGGAGAGACCTTGACAGGCTCTGATTTGGAGTTGGAGAGGAAAAGACCAGAAAAGCAAACCCCTGCTTCAGGGCAGGAGTTTGTGAACCTGACCTTTGCTGGTCCTCCTGCAGGAGTGGGGACAACCAGCATCAAGCTGCTGTGGGAAGGGAACAACATGGTAACATTTCTTTGGCTGGATGTTGTATAGGTTATGAAGGCTCTTCACTGGCAGAAAACACAGCTTTTATCCCCTACTTCCATAAGATCAAGATCCACTTGTATAAAAATGTCTTCCAAGATCCTTAAAGCATTCAGGAAGTTTTAAAATGGCAAAGGAAGGATCATCTGCTCTACACAGAATCATTTAGGCTGGAAAAGACCCTTAAGATCATTACATCTCATTGTAGGGTCTGCAAACTACATGTCAGGCTCTGTGCAACCCACATCGTGGAAGAGAATAACTCACCTTCTCATAGGCTTGAAAAGTAGCTCTCAGCTGACTATAGCTTCTCTTTGCTAAGACCACATTGAAAGCCAGCTCATCTGTTCCCCAGCGGCCTTCTCCTGCCTTAAAGATTCCACATTATTTCTTTGAAGCACTTGTTTATTCACAGTAGAGACAAAAAGTCAGCCAGAACCCTTGATTCACCAAGCTCCAGCCCGTGCCCCCCTTGCCCATTTCTTACACTGCCATCACCCCTGTGCATGGTGCATATAGTCACCCCAAGGTTGCCTTTGCTGCACAGCATGGGGCAAACAGGGACTTTTCCACAATTGCACTTACTTTATAGAGATCTGTGGCATCTTGCATGGCGAGCTCTTCATTGACATCTTGGGTCTCATCTCGGGTTGCCTACAGGAAAGGACACGACCGTAAAAACCAGATCAATCCCCGGTTATGTTTCGCAGTGGAAAAGAAGATTGTCAGTTTATGGCCTCACGAGTACTCTCGTTATAGCTCTGCTGCCATCTGCTGACAATTGCCTTGTACTGGGGCTCAGTGGGGCTTGGTACAGCTCTGAATGGTGTGCTCGTGTTTACCGCAGCTCGTGGCTTTGCTGGCTTTAGAGATGGATGGAGCCTGTATGGTAAGGTTTCTCTCCAGCTTCATCTGCTGTGTGCTGGGGTGCTAATGAGGTTGCAACTCTGATGCCTCTGGTGCAGGAAGGGACTGTCGGGGTGGCATGGTCCATACCCTGTGGATGCTCCCCTGTGGCAGCATGGCCTACTGGTCCATTCCCCTTATGCCAAGGCTCCTTGCCATCCCATGGGTGTTCCTGCTTCCCCCTCAGCCACCATGTGTCCAGAGCAGAAGACAAAGTCAGAGGAAAACCTGATCTGAGTTCAGCGTTAGGCTTGCTTTGAGGAGGGATGGACTAGAGGAGCTCTAGAGGTCCCTTCTCACCCAGCTTGTTCTTTGGTTCTGCTTTCTGCCATTTGTTTCAGTTATTTCTACACTGGTGGGAAGTGGTAGCATATGCAGCCAGATGCTGGGGTGGGAATGGGGCTGAGATGTACAAACAGAGCTGGGCAGGATGTTCCAACACAGCCCCAAAAGAGCTGAGCTACTGGGTATGTCCAGCACCCTGGGCTCAAACCATGATGTTTCTCAGGAAAGCAGCTGCTGCACCACATCCAGCTACTGCAGAAGGTTCCCAGTACCTGCAGTGAAGTGCTGATGGTTTTCATGGTGCTGGGTATACCCTGATAACTACAAAATATTTTTCTGACTGACCTGTATACTCTGAGAATTCACTTACACTGGGATTCCTGGTAGAAAATATGAAGGACTAATCTATGAAAACCATCTATGAATAATATGTATTTATTTTATGAATTTATTGTATGAATAACGCTCTGGAAAGTATACCCCAAGAGGCTGAAGAAAGCTGTATCAATGCTTTCCAGAATGGGAATCTAACTCTGATGTATTCAGTGATGTGTCTGTTAGATCTTTAAAGCTTCTGCTTATTGAATCTTTCAATTTCTCGTGGCCGTCTGATCAGACTGACCACCATGCTGCATTTCTAGGTGTGATCCTACCCCTATCCCACACACCCTGCCACTCATGGCTGTCCAGCCTCGGCGAAAATCTCTTGGTCCTATACTGTGTCTTTAAGAACCTATTTGTTTGTTTCAGGTAGGTGGATAAAGTGTGTTCTAATGGTAAATCTGCTTTTTTTTTGGTGAATAGAAAACTACACAACAGCAAGCTTTCTTACTTGTTCTGTATCTTTCAGAACTGTAAAATCCTCAGCTGAGACGGAAATCAGATTTTACAGGACTTGGACAGACTTCAGCATAATGAAGCCATGAACTTGAATGGGTATTCTAGCCATTACCATGCTATAAGTAATAATTAAATAATGCTGTTGTCTACAAAGTATCAGAATTTATATAATTACTTCTGATTTTGTAAATTAAAATTTTATATATTAAAAGCTATAGAGATAGAAGGCTCTTAAGAATGCAGTTTGCTTACTATGATTACCTCATTATTATATTGCATACCACACATTATTACAAATACCAGCTAATACTTATTATAATTACTCAGGGTAGGCAGGATAAAGGAAACATCTCTGTCAGGCAGCAGCATAAGAGGAAAGCCTCCAGCCTTACCTCTAGCACAGTGATTAATATCTTCCGTAGGGAGCCACTTGTGTCACTTTTAACATCAGACTCTAGATCCCTGTCAAAGACTGTGGAGAATAAAAGATTTTGTGAGTGTTCACCCAGTGATAAAGGCTTTAAATGAAGGTGTTTGAAAGACAAGTCTACTTACGCCGTTTGTATGCCTCCTTTACGTTTACAATCTCCTAGGCAAATAAGGGAAAACCATAAATAACTAAATGAATAAATTTAATAAAGACATACATAAATAAATAAATAAACACCCCCTCTCTTTAAAGAAGTCAGTACCATTCCCAAGTTGCGTGAGGCAGGCATGGAGGCAAGAGAAGCCAAAGTACCATTCCCTTCTCATGGTGGGACTCACTGCAGTGCAAAGACACCGAGCCTGGTTCAGGACAGCATTTCAAGGGATGCCTGACTCATGCAGGTGTCCCCCTGGTTTCATTTGTGTTTAGGCATAAGCTAAAGGGCTTTTTGAAGAGAATCCCATTCCCATATCTGGCAGGAGCCCCCTGAATGGTTAGAACAGTGTTAAAGCACCCTTTTACAGGCACCTGTGGATTTCTCTATCAGCAGTGTTGCCTCTGTGTCATCCACGGGAGATATAATTAGGACCAAGGAAGGAATTAGAATTATAAGGATGCTGGGGAGGGACTCTTCATTAGGGACTGTAGTTATAGGACAAGGGGTAATGGGTTAAAACTTAAACAGGGGAAGTTTAGTTTGGATATGAGGAGGAAGTTTTTTACTGTAAGGGTGGTGAGGCACTGGAATGGGTTGCCCAAAGAAGCTGTGAATGCTCCATCCCTGGCCAGGTTGGGCAGAGCCTTGGGTGATATGGTTTAGTGTGAGGTGTCCCTGCCCATGGAAAGGGAGCTGGAACTTGATGATCTTAAGGTCCTTTCCAACCCTAACTATTCTATGATTCTACTATTCTATATTGCTGTTAACTCCTGGTATGGCAACCTTACTGCTGCTACTGACAACAACAGTTTCAGCCACAGGAGCTGGTCTGATTCCTTCCTCCTCCTCCTGGGGGGATACTCTTGGTGAACTCTTTGCCCTGCTACCTAAGGAAGGTCATATGTGGTGTCCCAACCTTATTGCTTCGTGTGCAGAGAATCTCAATCAGCAGCGACTCATCCGTCCCAGCACCCTTCATTGCCTTCCGAAGCTCCCGGGCCTCGTACTCGCAGGGCAGGTCCAGCAGAGCCAGCACAGCCTTCTCGAAACTCCCACTCAGCTCTCCCTTCAGGACCTCTTCCAAATCCTGTGGGGACAGTCAGAAGGGTTAGTGAAAAAGCTGAGGTGGGATTATAGGTTTTCTTATTTTTTTTTTTGGAGGGGGGGGGGGGGCGGAATTTAATGATTTCAAAGCTGCATCTGTATTAAAAAGGGACAAAACCATAAAAAATCTTTTCAATACATAGACTTTTTTATAATAAATTCCCTATTTTTTTTTTTTTTTGGTTTGGATTAAATGATTGCCCTGTCTTTAAATACCAGCTGATATCAGTCCAGTTTCCTCTTACTTGTTTAAATAAGTGCAACCCAGTGTGTTTAAAAGCTTAACAGTCTGAAACACAACACAGCAAGTTCCTGCTTTGAAAGAGCTGCAGCAGAATGGATCAAACCTACCAAACTTCCAGTTTTGGTTAAAACTGATTTATTGGAAAAAACATCAGATTCTAGAAGTGCTTTGGTGCCACGTGATCAGCATTTTTTCCACCAAAATAGATAGATAGATAGATAGATAGATAGATAGATAGATAGATAGATAGATAGATAGATAGATAGATAGATAGGTAAATCAACCTTCCTATGATCTACTTAATTCAAAATTTAGTAAGACCCAGAGAAGAGCTCGATGGTGCATGTACGCTGAGAAGGATGCCTACCTATGATTTATTTGAAGCCCTGTCTGCAGCTAACATTTCCTGTAGTATGGGAAGTACTTGACAAGTTCAGAACAACAAACGAGAAGCCCAGCTCTAAATCTATTGTTCTCAAATACCCTCTTACACAATTGTGAGTGAACACTCAGTCTGCTCAAGTCAGAGGCTGACATTGGTGTTGGAGTAGTTTCAACAGCCACCATGAATCTTGCTGCATGAGGCAGAAGGAAAGTGAAATGGTACAACCTGCAGCTCCTTCCCAAGAGAGTCAGGCTGCCCAGGCAAGCAAGAAGGGATGCTACATGCTGGTGTAACTGAGAAGTCTCATGGCATTTACTCATTTCTAATGCCTATTTTTATTAATCCTCATTACTGAACTACCATTTATGTAGTCAACATCTTTTATCATGCTTGCTGTTTTATATATAGAAGGCTTTCAGGTTCAGTGCTGCCTGTCTTATTAACTATTAATGACTAGTGACATTAATGACTAATGAGCAAGCAGACCTTAAGAAAATACCAATTTAATAAACTCTGCAGGATTCAGATGTTTTTCTAAATGATACATTGGAAGCTTTATTTTTCTTCCATGCAAAATCATTAAGGCAGTCTACATTTCCTCCTCCAGAAATCAAGCGCCCAATGAGACTTCTTAGTTTTACAATGTGTATTCTATTTCATCACTGGAAGAAATCAATTCCGCATCTATTAAACTCAACAAAAATACAATGATGTGAGATCAAACAGTTCCTCTGAATTTGCATCTGGTCTGACTTAAAATTTCCCTTTTACATTAATTTTTTCATCTGAATGTGCTGAAGATGAACACAAACTGAAATATATTTCATTTTAGTTATGAATTATTTTATAGCTCTGTCAGCTTTGATTAAAATGCTCTTGCTCTGGTTAAAGCTGATTTCAAGAAGACCATAAGGCTTAAGATTAGAAATACAATTGGTATTTTAGGAGATAAAATACACTGCCGAATCAGACAGTAACTGGTGTCCTTCTTAAATCTACTGTGCCTTTGATATTTTCCAAAGCAGAGGCCTGGAGGCTGTATTTCTAGCAGGTACACAGTTTGAAACAGAGAGGCCATTTATTCCACAATACCTTGCTATAGAGAGACTTGTATTTCTGTTTTATTTGTTGTCTCTGCCCTGATGTTCGACTCAACAAGATTTCAATGATTTTCTTTTCGTCAGTTCCTGAAAAAGAAGTTGTGCACAGGACTCATTCAATCAGGAGGAAGAGAAAACATGACCTCTATAGAGAAAAAATTGCTATACATGTATCCCCACTGGTGTCAATGTCAGGGTTTGCAGCACCTAAGATTCTTTTGAGGATATATTTAACTGTAGTCAGCTACAATGTTCAGACCATAAAATAAAATTCACCATCTCATGCCGCTTATATTTTATCAGAGGAATTGAGCCTTCTGTTTGAGAAGGTCAGAACCTGCTCCTAAAATCAGTGTCCATGGGCTGACATATACATTTTTGGTGGCAAAGCTTGTTTGAGTAGTCCCGAGGGATCAGCCACCAGATCCAGTTCATTAAGCATGCAAACACCTATGCCGGCACAGCAGAATGAACAGTGTGGGGTGAGAGTCTGGGGTAGGTTTAAATCAGCTTCATTAACCCACAGCCTGGCTGCAGAGCCTGTACAAAACGGGGTGTGCTTTGTGCTAAACCGAGTCAGGAAGAGGAGCAGGAACCAGCCTTCATGGTCTGAGACTCTGCTGCTGCTGTTCTGCTTGGCAAAAGTAAGTGAGAGGGAAGTAGTATTGGGTGCCCTAGTCATGGGCACCACAGCAGCTACATCTCCTGGGAACGCACAGGGGAGCTGAACTCTCCAGGAGAAAGCCCTCAGGCAGCGCTGAGATGTAACTTAAGCAATGGATGGAAACAGCTTACTAAAGGCAATGACCTTGCTGTTGCACTTTTCTTGCCCTCAGATGTTTGCACTGAACAAAGCTGCCTGAAGGCATTCGTTATGTTTGTGGCTAAAGAGACAGGATGGCAGCGATGTTACCTGGATGCCTGAAACACACAGTACAGTAGCTATTGCACTAACACGTATCCTGGTGCACTTGTGTCTAACGGCCAGAAGCTTGTCTCACACATTATTTCTTCAAGACAAGTATTGAAATGTGTATGTGACGGGGACCGCCAAAGTGCCCATAGCATATAAAGGATTTAGATAGCAGATGAAAGGCATCAAGCCTTATACCAGGTCTGCTGATCCATGTGTGTCACACTGGTGGACACTGCCCAGTGCTCTCCATGTGCTCTTCCATCTATACTGTGCATCCACTTAGTGGGCTTTATGCCATGCCTCGCCTCAGGCTCTCAGGAGCAGGGACTAACAGGAGTTTCCAAGGAACTAGAGATGATAAAAATACAAATGATATTGGCATTCAGCAACAGCCGATATGTTTCCATCCCTGCATGTCACCACCAGGTACTTACAGGACAAGTTTAGGGTATCTTGCCCAGTTCTTCCTGCTTAGAACCAAGGGAGAAGGAATGGTTCAATTTGAGAAGGAAAAGCACTTGTACCTGACAATGTGGGGTGAAACCCTCAGTAGGACAGTCCCCTGGGGAACTGTCTAGAGGGGGCTCAGTTGGTAGGACAGGAACAGTTCAGCACTTAACTAGCTGTTATGTTATGAATGTCAGTGCTATGCCAGGAAGAAAGGCTTAAATACATGTTTACTGTGCAAATGCCTGAAGTGAATTAATTCTGGTCTCGTGTGCTGCCTGGCTGTTCTTCCTCTTCTGGACATGGTCATCCCTGTGCACCTGAGCATCCCATGAACCCTGTGCATTCCTCATTCACATCAGTGCACTGTCAGCCAACTTACTTCAAACTACCTTAGAAGATGGTGGAAGCCAGTATTCTTGGTTAAAAATCATTGGTGCAGATTCTCACACCATATGTTCCTTTCAGATGATGGAGTTGCACTAAGCTCTGACAAACATACAGAGGTGGTGGTATTTCTATGGGTCCTTGAAGGCCTGGGAAAGGACATATAGCCATGACCTTAATCTGATCTGACTGGCTAGACTCCATGACTGTCATAAGAGTCTTAGCTTGATGTTCCTATTGCAGGGAGCAAATATCATGTTTACCCCAATCCCCTGCAGCCAAGCAATTAACAAACTAGATCCTACCAGTATTTGAGGAACAAACTGGCTTCCCTTCCCATATATCTTAATCATATAAAACCTCATGGGTGTGCATGTTCTTTGAGTCACTAGGTGACAGAAAGCATAAAGAAACTGGAACAGTTGGTTTGCCCTAAGATTATGTATATGCTTTTTATAATTTTGAATTGACCTTTGTATACAGAACAAGAGCTTTCTTACCTGCTCCTTTGCAGGCACTATGTATTTTCTTGGCATCTCGGTCTGCATCAAAACCATGGTGATGGTGTTTATTGGCTGACTAGGAAAACAGAGGCAAAACAGACACATGGGAAACAATTTTGCATTAGTCTGAATGACAGCAGTTTGGGCCTGGTTCTTGCTTGATCTTTGTTCACATCGTCTAAACCATGAAGTTCACACTGGGCTTTGATGAAATACTGTATCATCTATCACTAGGGCTCCTAAAATGGGTCCACAAATAGTTGTCACCACATGACATACGGTGCTGACCCTATATAACTTTGTTCTGCCAGTTCAGGCTTGTTCAAACAATTTAAAGGTAATATCTTCATACTAAGCATCTTAATGCCAAATCAAATATTATTTGTTTGTACCACTTTAACAATAGGCCAATATAAATGCCTTATCAGATGTGTACAGAACCAGGCCCAGTCTCTGAAGTACATTTCTAAGTATTACGAGCTTACAGTCCCAATCACCTGAATAAAATCTGGTCCTGCAAGCCTTTCTTGCATCGATGCATTCATGCAAACAAGATAATTGGAGATATATAAGGTGATAAAGTTGTTGGGGTTTTATTTTGGCAAAATATGTGGTTACCCGGTGCTAAACCTATCCAGGACAATAACTCAGAGTCCACAGGGCAGTGGCAGTTTACAGCCTGACATATCAATGTAAACAGAAAACCATGCCTGCTCCTACTAATCTGACAAGCTGTGAATCACAAGAGCCGAAATGCTGTCATACTCTATTCTGCTGTTTCTCAGACAAGGGTAGAAATATCTGAGACCACGTCAGCAGCATTCTCAATACCTGTAATGATGAATCAGATCTTTTAAATGCCTAAACTCTAAAATAATACTGAAAATAGGTCCTAGCCTCTTAAATCAAGTAGAACTAACTATATGCACACCACGGACTTGTGGGGTCTAAGTAGGCACTGCAAGTGCTTTGGCATTTCCACTCAAATAGCAGCATGTGGATCAGGCTACGTGCTTTGCAGGGCTTCCAGGCACTGACACCACCACTGTTAATTAAGGATTATGATACCCTAGGGCATGGCAGTCCTTGTGACGTCCTCCTTCAAAACAGCTTAAATGCCCTTCTGAAAATGCCACCAGCCTTCTGAAGAGCAGAAAAGGTTAAATGGCTGATTAACCTCCTTGTCTTTGGGGACCCGACAGGGCAGAGGCAATTCCTGAGAGACATTAGGCATAAGATCATTCTGCTTGTGGGATAAAGAGAATTTCATCATATGGCTGTGGGCCAACCTCTGCCATGTACCCATCTGGCCAGAGAACAACCTGTTTTATTTACAAGTATAGCTATAGCCTGGAAGTCTGCTGTTGGTCTTCATCAAAAGTTTCATGCTGATCTACTAGCTCTGGTGGAAGAACTACAGCTCTGGTTAAAGGAATCCTCTGTCAAAAGACAAAGTATCTTTTCTGAAGGAGAAGACCCAAATCTAGTCCCTACACTGCTTTACCAATGTACCTTTGTGATAAAGACCATTTAGGTACCTGGCTTTTCTAATGCAGTTAGCAGCTAGGATACAACTTACTACTAGTGGCAGCTGCTGTACTGCAGCCATCCACTGAAATCAGAAGTTACTTTTACAGCAATAACAATTAGTAAGGTACAGCAACAATGCAATAATTCCTCTTCATCTCTAGCACACAAGGTAACACTTTCATTGCCACATCATTACCACAAATGTTGCTTATAAGCGTGCATCCTACTGTATGCTCAACACACACACTTCTCCAAACCTTTCAAACAAGGTGGAAATAGATGCATATAAATAACTAATATTTTATAGTGGAAGATTTTATTTAATAGTCTTCAAATTTCTCAGAATTTTGTCAAATGGGAAGGGGAAAAGCACAAAGTTAGAAAATGGATGCACTGATCACTGCCTTTATCCAGAATGAATTGCATTCCCATTTTTCTATTATGACAGGGTGTACATGCTTCTCCTTTGATGGAATCATGTACAAAAGATCAATTTTTTTTGCACAACATACTTGAAAATTAAGCAGCTCTAATTTCCTCCTTCTTTTCTGATTGCTACACCCTCATTATCATTCTAGTGAGAATAAACCTCACCTTTGTTCTCTGTAATGCCAAAACAAACAATGACAGCTGATCAGACTCAGTGGGTGATGAATCTGGCGGAAGACAATAATGGGATCCCACAACACAACAGAAGTTTACTCTGGATATACACCCCTAGGATGCAAAGACTGAATGCACAATGGGCCTCTGCTCTGGAGAGCTGCACAGGCTGGTGTTGACACAAGAAGTGTGGTCCAGGTGCTCCTCAGCATGTGGTGGACTCAATGAGCATCATGGAGTCGCATTCAGGAGGATGCTCTACTGTCTGTTCAATTGAGTGTGTCCTGCAGACAGCACTGGTGCCAGCATGGTTTTCCCCTCTCTGTAATACTAAGTTTAACATGCAAATTGTTTTGCAACACTTCAGTCCATACTTTAACATATACTTGGCAGTACTGTTGGAGTTACCACTATGTTGGCTAATGTGTTCCTAATTACTTGCATCTGTGTCATGCCCTCTGGAGCAATCCCAAAGGACACTGTAAGCTGGAGAGACAGTATTCCTGCATTTCCCTGCGCAAAGTAGAAAGCTATTTGCAGGAACAGGGTACAATACCTGAATAAAGTAAATGATGGTGACATTGAAATATTGTTATTTATACTGTTAGCATGCTTTTAGATAATGTTCACGCCACTCACACAGTTGATGCTGCTGTCTTTGTTAGGCAGCCAGTACTGAAATTATTCTAGAGTCATTTGCAAGGAATTTCTTTGTGAGGGTAAGGACCAGGGAAACAGCTGGAAAATCTGTTCTGGAGCATATAATACAGAGAAAAGCACTAACATATCAAATACATAGATTTGACTACTTTGTAGCATCCAAGTACTATTCTGATTTATAGATCCCCAACAGTATGTTTCTAGATCACTCCAATAATATGAATTGAGAACTGTTGCTCCACAATCACTTTCTACTGACCAGGGAAGGTGATGCACTGGTGAGAAATGAGAGGAAAAAGGCTTCATCCCACTTTTCAGTCATTCAGCCTGGACAGAAACACCCATGCAAACACCCAAAAGCAAGGAGCTGGTCTGTGCTTTATTCACTAGCTAGTGCCTTATTCACTAGCAGTGCTGGGCTGTGGCACCTTCTCATACGAATGCTGCTAATGCAGCTCCTGCTGTCCCAGGCCTGCACAGACACACCTCATTCTTGTAATGTCATTATAGGACTTTGAAAGAGTGGTTTGCTCTCTTACACCTTGATGGCTGATCGGTTATGCTCAGGTTTTAGTGAATCTCTAACTCCTAGGTGTAGCTGTTGTGTTTGTCTATAACACAGCTGCAAAAGGCAGGAAGATGGTAGCATCAGCAACTGAAATAACATTGTGGATTTATGAGGATTCATAAAGACATAAATAACAAAAGACAATTCACGGGAAAATCACATGGAAGGGAAGGAACACCTGATTCTTAATGATTTTCAGGGCATGTTTGTTTTAAAGCACCAAAGGAATCTATTGGGTCAGCTCTGCTGAAGCCTCTATCTTCAAATAAATAACTGTAAAACATTAAATGATGTGCCTGGGGGATATCATAGTACTAGCAATACTAGCATCAGCTTTAAGATAGGAAAGCTGATACGCTGGGTGACTGTCAAGGCCAACTCCTGAGTCATCTGGAAAGCCCTGGTTAAAATTCACCACCTGCTGGGTCCCAACCTTGATCTTTCCCACTGATACAGCTTTCCCATGCAGGAGAGGGAGAGCTGTCTCAGAACTGACTTGCTTCCTGCCTTGTGCGTTTTGACAAGTTGGTGTTCCTGCAAGGGATAAATGACAAAAGAATTTGATGCTCAATGCCATTTCTAACTTGTAAGCCTTTTTCTTTCAAAATTATGGCAGAATCACTTCACTATAGTTCTTGGTGTAGAGTTAGGATCTTCGATTTGAGTGGTTAATGACTTGCAAGTGTTGTAGCAATTTTGGTGATAGCATGGTGTGGAGTCTGAAATATCAGGTGGACAGACTGAATACAAATATTGCAGGTGAATATAGGATGTAAGGGAACTTCCTTTCATAAACTGGTCCAGCTCCCTCTACTCAGTCACTTTGTTTTCTTCTACATTTCTCTCCAATACTTCTGTATTAATCAGTGCAACCAGAGTTCAGGTGTTAAGAAATCTCACTTCCAGCCTAGCTGCATTCATGGCCTGTGTCCATGTGTTTTTAATGCCAACAGTATTCCTTAGCTTGAACAGTTTTTGCCTCACTCAAGCATATTCTATACAGCAATCATTTTCCCTTGCAGCTTTGCCTAGAACTGCCAAGGACTTATTTCTGTTAAACTGGATAGAGTGTAACTAATCTAAAATTAACACTTCCACCTTGTTGTAAAGTAGTTTTTCCTATTGTAAATTACATTTGCCTTTAAGGAGATGTAGGATGAGTTTATAGTTGAAGATGGTCTGCAATGCTTAGAGGAGCATTTGGAGACTGTTCTTTGATGATCAGGGGAATGGAGCACCTCCCACATGAAGACATGCTGAGACAGTTGGGGCTGTTCAGCCTGGAGATGAGAAGGGAAACCTTAGAGCAGCCTTTCGGTAGCTGAAGGGGGCCTATGAGAAATCTGGAGAGGGACTTTTTACAAGGGCAGGTAGGGACAGGACAAGGGGGAAAGGCTTTAAATTGAGAGAGGGGAGGTATAGATTAGAAATGAGGAAGAAGTTCTTCCCTGTGAGGGTGGTGCGGCCCTGGCACAAGCTGCCCAGAGAAGTTGTGTGCCCCATCCCTGGCAGTGTTCAAGGCGAGGTTGGACAGGGCTTCATTTTCCACCTGGTCTAGTGGAAGGTGTCCCTTCAAGGGGTTTGGAACCAGATGATCTGTAAGGGCCCTTCCAATCCAAACCGTTCTGTGACCCTGTGATTCTATGAAAACAAGAGAAAGGGCAGCTTCTCGGGATGATGCTTCCAGTGCTCACCCACTGCAGTTCTAACACAGATCGATGCTGATAATGCACATGGATAAATGCAGACAGATCCTTACAAGCAAATCACTAGGAAGAGTCAGCAGGAGTGTAGCTGCTGACCAGAGCACTTGAGATGCAAGTCTGATAGCTATGGGCAGAGCTCAAAAAGGGCTGGATTGATCCAAGGATGTTAAGTGCCTACCCCAGTCTTCACTTTTGACAGGTCCATTTTATATGCTTTGCTTAGTGTATGACTAATTTCAAGCTTCTCTTTGGTTGCTGTTTTCATTTTTCTTCAGCTTAAGAGAAATAAAAATTCAATGTCAAAACAGCAGCACACAGAAGGTGCAGACTGACACAGCCGTGCTCTTCACAGCACAGACTCCTGCATGAATGGGGTCTGGAATGAAAGGCAGGGTAGTATTCAGTTGTCCAGAGATAGGCATCTGGTCCTATTAGATAGCCCCTGGGTTAGAGATGCCCCTGGGTAAGCTGCCTGCTGCTGGTCAGAAATGAGTGGTCTCTTGCTGGACTCTCATCTGTCAACTTGGTGTGGATGTCTCACATACCTGAGAGTGGGTGGTTGCTGATGGCGGGCAACAGAATCATGCCACAGCTATTTCACCAGTTTTCTTATTCTTCACACATGTTTAATTAAGTTAGCAAAAATGCATTGGAGGAAACTGAGGTTTTCAAAAGAATGACATAAACCAGTTCTATGTGGCAGCAACCTGCGCTGTCCTTTCTACCAAGCAGGTGAGCACCAGAAACCCCTTTGCCTGGTCTCCCACAGGTTTACATCTCCTGCCTGGCTGACTTTGTTGCCTCTACTGCCTACGGCAGCTGAAGATAGAATTCCTGTTACGTGTGCAGTCATAATGGCCCAGTACTGTGTGGATTCTCTAGTGTCTAATAAGGGTTGAGCTCATGCCTCAGTCTTCTGTTTAGGGATTTCTAATACAGTCTCTTCTCAAGATTTTCAAGGAACGTAACAGACACTAATACTTTCATGTATTGTAACATCCTGCTGATAAATTGACTTAAAAATTGCCTAATGGGTTCAAATATTTTTAGCCAAGGTAACATATATACATACTGCAGTGTCATGCATCCTGTTTCTTTAAGAAGCCAAGCCCCAAACGATCCATAATGTCCCAAAGGTGAGCACAGGAGTGCCAGAAAAACAAACTGAAAACCCATCACAGAGAGGAAGCTGTGGAGCCTGTGGAGATTTCTCAGTTCTCATCACACACAGTCACTGAGTCACCAGCTCAAAGACCTTCGGGGAACCTCCTCTCCAAGTAATGAACCAGTTCTCCTCCCTCTCAGCACTGCTAGCACTGTCAGGACTGGTTGGGGCAGAGCTGATCTGGCTGTAGGCAATAAATAAGTGAGCTGACATCTCAAGGTGCCTTCCAGTTCTAGGATTTTCTCTATTTCTCGTTTTGTGTGAAGAAGATTTATTCTCTCTGTCTACCAAGAAAGGTACCAAACCAGGTACTCACCTTGTTAGCATAATAAACTATGGGACTGGAGCGCTCATCTTGTTAGTTAAATTGTATCTAATATACTAGGATCACAGAAGACAGCTTTCGGCAAATGAGCACCCACATGATGAATTTTTTATCAGTACACTCAGAATGAATTGTTTATCTTGGCAGGAGCCTTTAATGAAGCACAATGCAACTGGAATTCAAGGTTAACTAGGCTAACAGTACCGGGCAGGAAAAGAAAAGGGGTGAATATTGTCTTCGATCTTGTGGTCTTAGTCTTCTGGTGTATCGCACATTGGCAGGGTAACATCCTGTTAGCAGAACAAACTCTGAACTTTCACCCAAAGGGATAGTCCTAATCACAGCCCAAATCTCATCACTCATTTTTAAGCATTTCCGTGTGTTAAGAATAAAACATAAGAACAAACATGGGAGTAGGCTGCTGTATTTTGATTCTGATCTGCTTTCAAAGATGGACTGAAAGCATGGTGCTAGCTTTGTACCTCAATAGTCTGATTTACTAATCAGACATTGCCAGTCCCAAAGATTTTTTTATACCTTAGGCCCCTTTGAACTGGGTAAATTTTTGGATCACAGCAGAAAGTATGAGTTTAACAAGAACTGTCACAGTCTCCAACCCCTACATAAGATATATTATTCTTAGATAATAACGTCACCCTATTCTAAACCTATGCATTCCTAATAGAAAATACATCTTCCTGCTTGTGTCAGTAAAAAATGCAGTTGAGACTGGAATGAACATCAACAGAGAGGAGGAAAAACATCTTCAGCTGTAAGACCCAACCTGCCTGACAAGCAGCATACCTCCCTCACCCATGGCAAAGAGCCTGGAGAAATGTCTCACACACCTCAGAGCTGAGGGTGGAAGAACTCTTGGAGGCAGAGGATTGCCCCTCAACTGGAAGCTTCTGGCTTTGCCATGGGATGGACAAGGGCCCGAAGACAATGGGCCCTGTGACTTGTGGCTGCTTTCCACACAGCAAGGCCCTGTTCTTGGCTCTGTTAGCCAGCCTGGCACAGGGCTGCAAATATTCCTTGGAGACACGAGGGTGACTTGCTCAGAAAGCTCCAGACCATCAATCAGAAAGGGCAGAAAAGCAGACAAAAGCAGACAAAAGCCATTTCATTTTGGTGTATAGGTAATTTCATGAGAAAGGCTTCCAAGTATCAGAGCTCTTTAATACAGTGGAGAACTAAAAGAAAAAAAGAACAATTACTACTACACAAGGTCAGGTGTCACCTAACTGGGAACGGCTGCTCAGGGGTGAGGATATCTGCCATTAGATAATGGTGGGTTCACTGTCTCCTATCATCCTTGCATCAGAGAAAGATGTTCTACAAGTTCTTCAGTGAAATTCAAACAGTTGGGTGCAATTATTCTGGTAGGAATTTATGTGAAATGTAAAGGCTTTTAGCACACAGGTCAGGGTAGATGGGCACTAAGATTTAAAATCAAACAGAAGCAAACAGCTGTGGCATGTTGGCAACGGGGCAGTATCAGCAAGCACCAGGGTTTGTTCCATGGTAATAAAAAGGTGGGGCTGCTAAACACCTATTTGACTTATGTCAATTGGCAAATGCTACCTTAAGGACTGTGTGTGTCCTTTCGACCACAAGGTTCCTTCCTTTGTTGTTTTGTAGAACATACCTGTCATTTTTGTCTGCTCGAGTAATTTTCCCAGTCAAACACAATATGTACCTGGAAAATTGCCATCTGCCTCTTTGACTGCTCAGAGAATGGTATCAGTGTCTCTGAATGCCACCCGCCATCTGCCAGGCAGGCTGCCACTCTCCCAGATCCTCACTGCTGTTTTAGGTCTAACAGCTGTACAACAGCAACATGTACTGTTGGGTGAGTTTGTTGCTATGAGGAATAAACCAATTTCTATATGAAGCCAATACTGGATAATAGAATATATGCAAGTCATGTAGATCAGACTTTATTATTCAACAGCCTTTGCAATGACTCAGTGACTCTTTCCAAACGGAGGTGTGCAACTAACCTTATGTTCTACATCTGAGATTAAACTACAGTGACAAGAAGATCCTAATAGAATTAGTAGCATTTACTTTTTCCTATTACAAACAATTGGCAACAATGAAGGTAATTGCTCTGACAGTTACTCAAATGGCAAAATTAAACCCACCTCTCTCCTACAACTCCTGTTTCCAAGTACCTGGTAAAATATCATTTCATAATACCTTATGGCTAATTTTTTATGCATTCCATTTATTCACACTAATCAACATGATAGAGAAGTCCACAATTAAGAGAAAAAAATAAGCTGGGGGGGGCAGTTCTCTCATGGCTGAGTTTGACACTGGCCAGTTTTAACGTGTTCAAACCTTCCTGTGGCTGGTGGAACTCCTTAACACAGATTACTTTTAAAACCAGAGTTAGCTACCAAGGTACCATGCACTGGGAATGCTGAAGTTGCAAAACTGCAGCTTTTATTTCCAGGGGGCTCAATCCGGATGGTTAAATACAGACACCTTTGATATGTGCCAGAGCACCTGGCATCTGCATGGCAACACAGGGCTGACAGGGACCTGACTCCCCTGATGTGGCAGCTGAAGCTGAGGCAGAAAAGGACACCAGAGATCTCCAGAGATACCATGCCTGTGTTTAAACATGAGTCAAGTCCTTTTAGTACTTGTCTTGCAAATAGAAGCAGAAAAACAAAAGTGGTAAAAAATGGCTTTATTCACCTAGGACAAATCTAGAATTTCAAGTCTGGAATAATTCTCTGTTACACTGGGGGTTGACTTGTCTACTTTTATTTTATTGACTATAATGCCTGATTGGAAAACAGTTTGTATCCTGGGCCATTAGGAATAATGATAACTAAAATGGTTGGAAACTGGCATATTCTGACTTGTTCAGCTCTTCCCCAGTGCTTTGAACAAGAAGGTGTTTCTGTCTTCTGCAGACTGTGGGCTTATGGCCAGGGACTTGAACAAGGATCCACTGTCACTGAATAATTGGTTTGCCCAGTGAAGTAACAAATAGCAATTGCCCAGTGAAGTAACAAATAGCAAATGAGCTTTGAGATGAGATAATAAAATCACACTGTGGTAAGTAATACTTGTACTAAGGAAACATTTCTACAAAGATAGAAATGTCCATAGGCAACACAGAGGTCCTTGTGGTGTTTGTGAGCCTATGCCTAAGAGGCAGGTACATTCTTCAGGTTGTATCTCATAGCAACCTTCCAATATGTGAAGGAGGCCTACAAGGATGGTGGAGAGAGACATCACCAGGGACTGCAGCAACAGAACAAGGGGTAATGGGTTTAAACTTAAAGAGGGGAGATTTAGGTTAGATATAAGGAAGAAGTTCTTTACTGTGAGAGTGGTGAGACACTGGCAGAGGTTGCCCAAGGAAGCTGTGGCTGCCCCATCCCTGGCAGTGTTCAAGGCCAGGCTGGACAGGGCTTGGAGCAACCTGCTCTAGTGGAAGGTGTCCCTGCCCACAGCAGAGTGGGTGGGTGGAACTAGATGATCCTTAAGCTCATTTCCAACCCAAACCATTCTGTGATTCTATGATTCCATGTTATACTTACTTTTTCACCTTCAAGTTCTCAAACTCTGGCTCACAACAAGCTGCCACCTGACTCTACATTATCGAGTCCTCCCTGGCAGAAGGTTTGGGCTGCTTTACAATGAGAAGATATAACTTAAGGGAATCCCAGAGAATCTGAAATAGTGGTTTAAATTAAAAACAGAACTCGCCCACCCCCAGCTTCATTCAAGTCACAGACATCACAGAGGACAACAGAATAATGCATGAAGAGTCTTCTTGGATTCTTCAGAGACAGAAGATTAAAAAACAATTACACAAATCCACAAAAAGTCAAAATCCATCAAACTTTTCAAACCATCATATCATCAAAATCACTGTTGCTATTGCCAAAAAGTCCCCAAAGCACCTCAGTTACAGCAGAGCAGCTACCCAGATTTTCAGGTGGATTGATTCTGCTTGTGGTAATTTGAAGACAGCAGAAGTACAGGTAAGCTTGATGCAAGACTGCAAACAGAGAGGGTAACTACAGACTTTAAATCTCTAAGGATGTGCAGTCAAAAACGCTGATTGTGGAAAAAAGCCACCGGCTCAAGTTCAGAGAGCAAAAAGCATGTGGAAATACGCAGGAGTGGTAATGTCGCATCAGTTACACCTCTTAATTGAGAGCTCAGTTTCTAAGAGAAAGGTACATTTTGGAGCTGGTTGGAAATCTTTTGTTGAAAGCATTTTTTTTTCAGTAAAATTTTATACTTTGGTTCAAATTACCATGTTCACAGAGATATTAATTTTGGTGAAAGCTCCATTTTAAAATGAGACATTTTGATATGTCTCAATGACATATCAAATGACATATCAAAAAGTGAAAAGTTCCATTTAAACATCCCCGTAATGGAAACTTTTCTTTGAACAATGCTTAGCTTTCAGTGAAAACCTCATTTAACAATGACGTTTTGAAATAAAAGAAAGTTTAAAGCCTAAATCCATTTAACCAAATAAAATACTTGTTTGCTTCATTTTATATTTCTCGCAGCGAATTTGGGCTATCAAAAAAAATCTCATTTCTGAAATTTGAAAGCAGACAAAATTTTGGAAAAGATGCAATATTCAACCAAATGAAACCATCCAGTTTTCCCCAGCTTTCTAGTGCCAGTATTGACCATGCAAGAGGAGCTGCCTATGCGCACTGCAGTGTCCCCCAAAGCCACCATCAACCACAGCAACAGATGCTGCAACACCACTGTGCCCCGTTCATCCTTCATGAGAGAAGTGCTTACTGGCTCATCTGCTGACAAACTGGTAGTCCCTACGGCTGTTTTCCGTATATCCTCTGAGAGATTGTAAGACTTGCTCTGGAGGTTTAAAAAACACAATACACAAGACACTCGTGAACATGTGGTTGCAAAACACGCCACTAGGAGAAAGAAAAAACTTCAGCTGAAAAGCTCTGTTAAGAACTTAGTATCTTCAGGGTGTTCCAGAAGCAGTTCTCTGATACAGATGCAGGCATTTCTCCAAGGTTACCTGGAATTTCCTAGGGACAAATGCAGAATGATGCAATTGCCAGATGAGTCATGGGCTGAATCATGGCATTTTCATCAACATGGGCTCACACCTCTTTGCACTGAAGCCTATGGCACAACTCTGGTGTACTGCGCCTATATCTAAGCCACCAAGTCCAGCTTGGAGCTCATACAACTGCTAAACCTGCCTGAGATGCAGTGTTGTGATTTCTTTTCACTAGTGGCTAGTTTAAAACTGAACTGAGTATGCTTGCTCTACACTGCATTCAGTGTACTATCCTATACTCCAGGGTCAGAGGAGATGCCGGCTGGCAACCCTACAATGTATGCTTATGTCGACACACAGGGCTGAGCAGCAGAAGCCGCCTTGGCCTTGTTTCCTATGCAAAGATAGGTTGACTGAACTGCTCACTTCTCTCCCCTTATGCAAGCAAACAGTCTACAAAAGGATAGAACCACCCACCCTTTCACAGGGAGACAGAAAGCTCCTTGGCTTAATAGCTGGAGCTTTATGCAAATGGCATAGGGTCTCTTGCTCAGTGTGCCCAAGAAAATGTCTTGGAGAGCTGGTCCAAAAGCAGCAGATGCTTGGCATCTCTCAAGGCCTTGCTGAATTTGAATTAAAAAAAAAACAGTCATGTAATAAAATAATACAAATCTTAGAGAAACTAATGTAACATTAGCTTGTATCAGCAAACAGGCTGCCTTCTATTGACACATGCTGTAAAACTGCAGGTTGTCAGCATTCAAGGAGAAAATGTGCTGCTGAATAAATACTGCCTTTAATTAGTTTTAAAATTGGAGCTAAACCCTCTGAACTTCTTCAGCACAAGCTCCTTAACTTTCAGAAGGACTGATCATTCACAGCTACCACACACAAACTTTTGATCATCAGGTTGTTTTGAGGTTAAATATCTTTATGAAGATTTAGATAGCTATTATTAAACACCCAAACGTTAGCCAAAATTGACTCAGTTGAAACTCAAGTTAATTTGATGTAGTAAATCCTGACATATAGATTTTAATCAGGCCCTTCTGTGAGCACTGCACTTTGAGATTAATCCTGTCCCTGGGATAAACAGCCACATTTTGAAAGTGCTTGCCTTTGGGACAGGAAGTTTTTCCTACATCTTTAGGGAATTATTTTAGTGTTCAGAATGTTCCAACATAAATTTGCTAAACTAAGATTAGTCTTCCCATGACATCATACACATCGTCTCTCTACCTCAAAATTAAAGTGCTGGCCTTTTTAACTAAGCCACAATAAGCATTAAAGCACTCATTACAATAACAGTTTCATTATGCATGTACTGCAACTAAGCAATGCTACCGGCTGCATACAAGTTTCCAACCCACACTTAAAAGTAGATTTTGATCTTAAATATTCATTTGCAGCTGTATTAATGTCATTTAAAATGAAAATTAATAAAAATAAAACCAGCAAATTGTTGCATCCTTGACAATTTAAATTAAATAACTACTTACATGTGAACTGCCCATTTTTGCTTAGCCTGAGTGTGGAAGATGCAATTCTTCTGCTCTTCAATAAAGGAAGCATACAGATGGGGCAGTCAACTTTTACTAGAGCAGCTAAGTCCTACCCAACCCCACGTTAATCAATAACTTCTGACATTATTTAAATTCTAGTCATTTCAAGGTGGGGTGTATTCATGGTGGCTTTATTATCTAACACCACATCCTGTTGGGTCATGGAGCTGGCTGCTTTCTCCAAGAAAATCAGGATTTCACAATGTAAGCCTCCAGATTATATATACTCACTTATCTAATTGTTATTACAATGATTTACAACAGATAGTTATGGTAGTGCCCAACACGAGCTTTCAAACATTGCAGAAGGAAGGATGCCTCCACTGAAGAGTTTATATCAGATCTTATAGAATCTAGTAGTATATAATGTGTAATTGGGGACCCTCAGCTCCTACAGAATATTTCAAACATAATCTCACTGCTTTTATTGGGTTTAGGTAGCAAGGTTTTGGTAGTGGGGGCATTGCACAAGTGGTCTCTCTGAGAAGAGACTGGGGTTGCTGTCATGCCAGTGCCAGCTGACTCCAAGATGCACTCACTGCTGGGCAAAGGTGAGCCCCATCAGCTATGTTCATGGGGACTCTATGATAATATATTGATAAAAGGGTAAAAAATACTGCCCAGCAGCTGTGAGAGAGAAATGAGAAAAACATGAGAGGAAGTGCCCTGCAGATACCAAGGTCAGTGAAGAAGGAGGCAGGAGATGCTCCAGGCACTACAGCAAAGATTCTCCTGCAGCCTGTAGAGAAGACCATGGTGAGGCAGGCTGTGCTCCTGCAGCCCATGAAGATCCATGGTGGAGCAGATACCTACATGAAGCATGGAAAGGACCCCACACTGGGGCATTGGGATGTGCCCTGTGGGAAGCTGCAGCCTGTGGAGAGCCTGTGCTGGAGCAGGCTCCCGGCAGGAGCAATGGCCTGTGGAGAGGAGCACACATGCAAGAGCAGGTTTTCTGACAGGACCTGTGACCCCGTGGGGGACCCACACTAGAGCAGGGGAAGAACACGAAAAGGAAGTTGTTGCAGAGGCAAAAATTATGGACTGACTGCAACCACCATTCCCTGTCCCCCTGCACTGCTTAGGGGAAGGAGGTGGAAAAGCTGTGAAGGAGTGAAGTTGCACCTGGGAAGAAGGTGGGGAAGAAGGTGGTTTTAGTTTTATCTTTATTTCTCTCTATCCTACTCTATCTTTAACTGGCAATAAAGTAAATTAATTTCCTTAAGTCAAGCCTGGTTTACCCATGACAGTAATTGGTGAACAGTTTCCCTGTCTTTATCTCAACCCGTGACCTTTTTCATCTTATTTTCATCTTATTTATCAGGGGGAGACCACTGCCCATTTCAGGAGGGGGAGTAAGAAAGCAGCTTAGTGGGCATCTGGCAGTCAGAAAAGGTCCTGCTTTAGATCTCAGGTAGAACAGCCAGAGAAAACATAAGAGAAAATGTAAGTACACTTGAATTTGTAGCAGCTCAGGAGGAAAACTGAAGTCTGTGAAATTATCCAAACAATAAGCAAAAGAAAATCACTGTGTTACTGAAAGTGTAGTTGTAATTCTAGGTTTTAAATGCTTTGATAGACAGTACTTCCCTGCAAAGACTTTGCTCCCATTCAAACACACTTAAATGATCAGATTTGGTATGTTACAGACTGTTAATCCTACTGCTTTTACTGGTTGTGAATGAAGGCACAAGTAATTAAGGATTTAAACCAAACAGCAGATTGAGTCGTACTATATTGTGCTGTGCGTGCAAACAGTCTACCTAAATGTGCAAACAGGTTATCAGCAGGAAAACTATGTACTACTCCCACTGAACAATTTGGTTGACTTAGCTTATGTCTTGGGTATTTCAAAGTTTGTACAATTAACCAAAATTAAGGATTGTATGGTACTTTCCAGCTTTGTAAATAACAGGACTGAGTCCTTGCAGGAGACCCGAAGACTGTACTTCTGTGGGTGACATACCCCAGGCAACAAGATAGCGGCATCGCTTGGTATCTAGTGAATGGAGTTCACCTCCACCTATTTCTCCTTTTTTTTGCCAGCAGGATGGAAAACTGAGGGACAGGTATTATGCCATGACAAGATCAAGTAGGCTAGATACAGAAGACAAGAAGGCACCAATGGCTGTCAAAAAGGTCCCTATAAACATTCTCCTCTGAAAGGTGGAGTGGGGAGAATTCAAATGGTGAAAAGGAGATAAAGTATTATCCTAGGAAAGAAACACCCACACTACAATGCATAACTGCTGACTGATAACACTGCTGGAGATTATTGCTGGTAATCACCCGGCAAGTCTTTGCTCTATAGGTAACCATAGAATTGGTTACAGCTGATGGGCCTTAGCTGAGGTTAAATGGAAAAGGCAATGAAAATCTTCAGCCTAGTGAAGTAAGTGAAATAAAGGACCAAGGTGGTAACAGGTCAGGACTACATGAAGCTGAGCTTTGCACTTTTTGCAGACAATATTTGTGGTAGCAGCAGGCCCACACAGCTGGGCAGCGGGATGATGCTTTGTCTGTCTGCAAGAAGAGTCAGAACTTTCCCTGGAGAGGCAGGCACCTGGATTTCTCTGTGACAGAGGAAATGCGGTTTGTGGAGTCCACAGAATTAATGCCTTCAACCTCCACTGCAGCCTCGGTATGAGCTGTGAAACAGCTCTTACAGTGGCAGCGGTGCCTGGCATTTCTGTTCAGCTCTACTGACCCCTGGTGAACCTGTGTGAGACTGAGAGGTTGCAGAAGGTAAAGACAACCACAGGAATTCTGAACAGTGTTTGGAGATTTATCCAGGGCAGCCAAAAAGGGCAGCAGGTTGACCAGAGACTGAGCAGGGACTCTCAGGGACCAAAAGATTTTCAGACAGGGTTACCAAGATACTCACTGACAGAGATGAGCTGTGGGAAGGACAGAAGGTTTCAAACGTTCACTTTGGAGAGGAATTTAAGGGGCTAAAAAGTGGAGTGGAAGTCCTAAATAAATGACTCAGCCTGTCAACAAACATTGCTAAACCCATGCATTTACAATGAATTTGCTTCCAGTTGGAAGTCAGTGTCCTTGAAGGAAGTTACTGTCCCATTCCTGGATATGCAAAAAGCCCATTATTTCAGAGGAAAGAGTTCCCTAGGAACTATTTGGTCTTAAGATCTAATCAGCAGTTGTCAATTGAATAAGCAGCTGCACAAATCAATCTCAAGAAAGAGACAAGAGTCACCCTGGAGAGCAGATATTCTTTACATGCTGGTGAAGGTGGCATGCAGCTGATAAGGCCAGCCAGGAGTAGAGGGAATGTGAACAAGAGATTTCATTGCAACTTCTCTGTGATCAGTTCAGAGGTCAGCTGCATTGATTGAGCTCAGCTTGCTCTTTCAGAACACTGTATTTTACTGTGCAGATACACCTCAGCTACCTGTCAGTAGGAAAAGCAAACTGGTAGGCTCCCACCAGTCCATCAAGCTTGCTGAGCACAATGAAATCACCTTCTGTCTCAGGAAATAGAGGAAGTCACTAGAGGAAGACAGGCTGCTATTTTTGATTTTAAACAAGGATGAACTGGCTGAAAATCCAGAACGGGAAGGTAGTTTCTTTGAAAGTGGTAATGACAAATGGAGTTAACTTGTTGCTAAAGCACAGAAGCACAAAAGACGTGTAACAAGGAAGAAAGCAGACTTTTGAAAGGTCAGTGAACCAAAATGTCTCTTGTGAATGTCTCTCAAGAATGAAGGCTGCTGAGAGTAACTGAAAGCAAATACATTAAAACCATTAGAACCCAAGAAGCAAATTTTCTCTACAGGAAGGAAGAACAGTAAGAAAACTGTGTAGCACTAAATCTGCAACAAGTTCTCTTTAAGAAAATGAAACTCCACAAGTTGATTAACCATAACTGAGTCTGCAAGTAGATACAGAGAACAAGAACACAGGAATCAATTTAGAAAAGCAAATGGACAGAATGAGTTATGAACAGCAAGAGACATGAAAGGCAAAAAAGAAGTTGGTCTAAAAATATCTCAGAAAAAAAGGGATAAACAAAGGTGATTTATTACAGGAGAGCAGCTAATGGACGATACACACCAGGTTAAAGTGTTCAATCTTTGCTTTGCTTGTCTCACAGAGAAAGATTACTCATGCCAGAAATGAATGCATTTAAGTATGTAGTTGTGTACTAACCAGGAAAAAAAAAAATATTAATGAATATACATTACATATAGTCAGTGGCACAGGTCTACTGAGCATCAAACTAGGGGGAAGCAATCTTTGAAGCAGGGTTGATTAACTGTGAGCACTAATGTAGATCAGGGAAAGTCATAAAAGACTGGAGAATGTTACATGTAGTGCCTGTGTTCTAGGATAAATCTGTTCATTACTGCAATTGCCTGAAGAGTCAGCTGGAGAAACTGTAAACTGTGCAACATCCTACACATACACACATATCCATTCTGAGAATGTTGGAGGGAATGAATGAGGTTTTAATGATATCCAAAGGTTTGGAAAAAATGATCAGTAGCCAAATCCTCTCTGTTCTCTGCATTTTACATAGATTATTTAAACCAATGTGATTATAACTTCAGAGTTCAGTGACCTCAGTTAAAGGTGCAGGAGTTTGGAGCACTTTATGTGTGACCTTCACAAAAACAGAATCATAGAATCAGAGACTGGTTAGAGTTGGAAAGGACCTTAAGATCATCAAGTTCCAACCCCTCTGCCACGGGCAGGGACAACTCACACTAGACCGTGTCACCCAAGGCCCTGTCCAACCTGGCCTTGAACACTGCCAGGGATGGAGCATTCACCGCTTCTTTGGGCAACCTCTTCTAGTGCCTCACCACCTTGACAGTGAAGAACTTTTTCCTTGTATCTAATCTGAACTTCCCCTGGTTTTCAGTTTAAATCCATTACCCCTTGTCCTGTTGCTCCAGTCCCTGATGAGGAATCCCTCTCTGGTGTCCTTGTAGGCCCCCTTCAGATACTGGAAGACTGCTATGAAGTCTCTACATAGCCTCCTCTTCTCCAGGCTTCTCCTTCAACCTGCTAGTCACACTCCTTTTG